AACTAGATCTAGTGGAAGAGCCTCGGGAAAAGGCTCTCATCCATGTCGCTGCCTACCAACAAGAGCTCCCAAGGAAATACAACAAAACGGTGCACCCCAGACCGTTCAAAGTAGGCGATTGGGTCTTGAGGAAGGTTATGGGCAATACCCTGGTGCCAGGTGAAGGCAAACTAGGGGCAAATTGGGAAGGACCCTACAAGATAACTGGTCTGGCGGACAAAGGGGCATATCACCTGGAGGACTTGGATGGTAGAAGAATACCCCGGCCATGGAATGCAGCCAACCTCAAGCTGTATTATTTCTAGCTTTAGCTCTCTTTTTGTGTAAAGCTTTAGCTTTCTTTTTGTGCAAATGAATTTTTTGCCTTACATGTAATATTCATTTGTGTCAAATATATAGAACTCATCTTTGCCTTAGCATTTTTAATGTTGCTTTAAGTTTTGAGATTCTCAACCGAGATGATTTACTCCGGTTGAAAGAGTTGATGGTTTGGTCAACTTAGTTCTTCTCAACCGAGATGATTTACTCCGGTTGAAAGAGTTGATGGTTTGGTCAACTTAGTTATTCTCAACCGAGATGTTTATTCCGGTTGAAAGAGTTGATGGTTTGGTCAACTCAGTTATTCTCAACCGAAATGTTTACTCCGGTTGAAAGAGTTGATGGTTTGCTCAACTCAGTTATTCTCAACCGAGATGTTTACTCCGGTTGAAAGAGTTTATGGTTTGCTCAACTTATTTCTTCTCAACCGAGATGTTTACTCCAGTTGAAAGAATTAATGGTTTGCTCAACTTAGGTTTTCTCAACCGAGATGTTTACTCCAGTTGAAAGAATTAATGGTTTGCTCAACTTAGGTCTTCTCAACCGAGATGTTTACTTCGGTTAGATCAGTTAATTAAAGTGGTTTGCCCCGCCGAGATATCTTGTTCGGCTGAAGTTATGAGGCTTAAAAACTGCATAAACACTTGATGAAATTAAAGCTTTTTCATTGATGTAAAAGTAGTACAAAAGGAGGGGCAGAGAGCCCGGTTACATATGCAAAGCAAAAAATGAAAGAAAAAGAGAACTATACTAGGGGGGAAAGATTGGAGAACTCGTCATCAGCTGCTTCCAGGTCGACCGTAGTTCGCTCTTGGACACCGGCCTCAGTTTCTCCGGGCTACTCCTGGCCGCTTCCCTCCTCGGCATTGACCTCGGTCTCTTTGGCAAGCTCTTCCTTGGCCTCAGCTTGCAACGCGCTGAAGACATCGTTGGCATAAGGCACGAGGTAGACCAGTAGGAAGGCAACCGGGGGAGTGGCAAACACATCGGTGTCAGGGCCTTGACCGAGATGTTCGCAGGCTGACTTCCAGCCCGCTTTGAAATAAATGTCTTGAGTAGCGAAGACCTGCTTCTTATAGTTGTCCTCGGCTTCCTTGAAGCCGGCGTTGTTGGCATCCTCGCACTCCTTCTCCCTTGACTTTTTGAGTGCATCCATCTCGGCTTGGAGCTCATCCCTCTTCTTCTCGACTTCATCAATCTGGCCAAGCAACCTATTGTTGTCAGCATTGGCAATTTGCAGAGAGGATTTTGCTTGGACCAGCTCGGTTTGAAGGCTCTGCACTTGGCCGGCAGTGTCATTCGCCTTCTGCCGCAGTCGATGGATTCGCTCCATGACTAAGTGTTGCTTCTGGATGGCCTACAAGAAGAAAGTTAAATCAGAGAAGAAACCGCGCAAACGCTTGTAAAATTTCAGTAGAAGATTGAGATTCGTACCCTGGTCATGGACTTCATGGCTAATTTCACCAACCGGGTGTCAGGGACATAGTCGCCGCCCACGACGTCGCTCGGCAGCAAGAGGGCTTTTGAAAGGTCGAAGGCGAGCAAGTGCACCTTGTCGCCCTTGACGGAAGCACTAGCCGGGATGTCTTTACCCCGGTGCTTCAGCTACGGGCGCCACGGAGGTGTTGGGTTGACAGTATTGGTGGGTTGCTCGGTGGTTAGCTCGGCAACCAGCTCGGCAGTCGGATCTGCCCGAGGTGTTTTGCCAGCCTGGCGTGTCTCTTGTCCGGCCTGTCCGGCGGCTAGAGATGCCAAAGCGACCACGGGGCCGCTGGATTGCCCAGCAGCTTGAGAATGGGTAGTGATGCTCGGTATCTCGGCTGAGGTTGCTGTGAGGAGGTTCTTGATGCGGCTTCGTTTTGCTATCTCTTATTCTTCGGTCAGCTGGATTAGCGGCACATCCGGTAGAGTTGGGTCCGGAGGAGGCGTTAGAGCACGGAGAAAGTCTGTAACTTTGCTCCGGCGTGGAGCTGAGTATCTGTAGGTTGGAGTGTAGCCGAGCAACTCGTTACAATCCCGGTGGCTGTAACGGAGCACGGTTCGGATGGCTTCAACGTTGGGATATTGGTAGTTGGATTGCAAGGCCTGAATTGTTGCAAAAGAAACAGGAAAAATTGTTAAGTACAGATTGTTGAAGGCAGGGTATTAACCGAGCAAATTGACGTGGCTTACATGTGGAACCGAAGTTCTTGCTGATGAACCAGCCCGGTACGTCGGCTATTTCATAATTGCCAGACACCCAGAAGAAGTCGTCATCATGTAAGTCCTTGTCTGGGGTGTCGGTCACTATTTTCTCTTTGCCCGGTCTTATTTTTAAATAATAGGCCAGGCCATCGCCGGTGTGCCCAAGTGTGTATTGTCGTAGTATCTCGGCTAAACCTAAGTTTGTTCCTAGCCGATTATTTAGCTCGTGCACGCCGTTGATTATTCGGTAAGTATTGGTCGAAACTTGGGTGGGTGCTAGCCCGGTGCGGCGCAGGAATTCGGTCATCAAAAGGTTGACTGGGAAGCGGAGGCCCCCTTCAACTACTGACAGCATGGTGAAGGGGCATTGGTCAAGCCTGCCCCAGGGGGTTGTTTCCATCTCGGCGAGCTCTAAATGGACGTCTGCCGGGATACCGTACTCTTCGCTGAAGGCTGCCAAGGCAGCAGGTGTGTCCACAAGGAAGCGGAATTTCCCCATATGTGGCCGACTAATTAGCTCGGCTGGGGCGGTTTGGCACAGGTTGGGAATTAATGGCTGCTCGGTCCTTGAGAGCCTTGGAATTGGTCTTTGGTCCCCTTGGACTCTGCAGGAAAATGGAGGGTAATTGTAAGTGGGAGCGCGGTCGCGTAAAACGAGTTGGATTTGAGCTCGGTCATGGATTGTGCCAAACCACCTCGGTCGTAAAAAGCTAGCTAAGGAGCTCGGTCGCTCAAGCGAACTAGAGAATAGCCCGGTTGAGCGGCCAAGTCCTTTTGCTACCCCGGTTTCTGCAAAGGTTGAGGCAAACAAGCTATTTGCTCGGTCGGAATGATTTTTTGGATCAAAAGAAGACCTGGAGCCCGGTCCGCCCCAGATCTTCAATGTTCATTAGACAAAGTGAAGAACTCCATAAACAGTTAAGGGTTTGGGACGATTCTGGGTGCCTATGTCCTATAAACTACGAGTTTAGTGTCCTAATGTGCGAAATACAAAGTGAAATAGCAGCAAAAGAAGAGTTGGGGGACATACCTTTATAGGACAGTGGCTGCTTCGTTGAGCACAAGCTGAGGAAAGGCAAGGGAAGAAGGGCACAAGCTCTGGGTCGTCGAAGAGAAATGAGAAGCAAGAGGAATGAAATGAAGGAAGCTAGGCATGCTGATAAGGAAGAAAAAATCGCCAAAAATTTGAATGCCAACAGACGGCTGGGTTGGCCGCTCGAGGACCAATGGGAGATTGACACGTGTCCCCATTCATGGCAGCGTCAGAGTTGAACAGACGGGAAGGTCAGATGAGGCGACGACCGAGCAAGTCAAGAGATAGTATGTTGAAGACAGGCATGTCAGCTAGCCCGATCATCGACTGGTGACCCGAGGACCAAGGAGAGGTAACCCCAGTCAGAATGGGTAATCCCAGTCATGCTTGCGCGGACGGAATTAAGGGGCAATTGAGAGGGAGATTTATGATCTGGAATTGGGCCGGACGGATTTGGGTCGAACAAGGGTTGGGCCGAGGTAGTACGGCCCTGTCTTGAAAGATCCTGCTCGGTTAATGCAAGGCGTGGTTTGACCGAGCTACATAGCTTCTTAGTATCGAAGCCTGTCAAATGGGTTGTCCGGCGCCAGGAAAGACAAGGTTCGACTGAGCTACATGTGTTTGCTCGGCAATAAGGCCGACGGCAAACCAGCGTAGCTGTCCCGAGCTCGGCAATGCCGGGATACGCCCGAGCTCGGTCGAAGCAGAGCGCGGCGAGCGGGACGCTCTGGCCAGCTACACAACACGGCCATCTACTGCCGAGATGATGCAGCCCGGCTGCCGAGCTCCTAGTAGAGTGGGCTGGAAGTCGGGTTAGGTGATGTTCAGCAAGATTTGTGCTGACAGATGGGATAGTAGCACCACGTGTCGAGAGACGAATGAGAGTAGATTTGGCGCGCAGAAGGTATATAAGTAAGTCTGCGCCTTCCATGCTGAGACAAATAAACATTTGGTGAGACATACATTAAACACAACTCAGTCCTCTCTCTCTCTCTCTCTCTCTATCCCTGTGTGTGTGTGTCTAACTTGATCGTCGGAGGGGTTTTTCGGCCACACACCGCCGGGTAGCTCACCGTCGTTGTGCTCGCAGGTCGATCGGACTGGCAGGAGCTTGGAAGAAAGGAGTGCGGGCTTGCCTGAATATTTGCTCCCCGCACACTTCCCCAAATCCCCCAATCAAATACCGTATTAACTAACATCTCTTTATGTGAAATCACTACTTTGATCGGTGTCAATTATTCTTTAAAATAATTTTAAAAATATTAAATTTTTTATTAAATAAATATTAAATGTCTCACATAAATATAAAATTATAGGCTCTATACCCATATAGAATATTTAATATTTATTTAATAAAAAATTTAAGACAGCATTTTCATCCTCTAATCAATTTTGCTTCCGCAAGCATAAGCAGGTCAACACTTGATTAACCATCATCTTCATCATCCCCATCCATTGTCAACAACTAAAGTCTCCTCTCTCTCTCTCTCTCTCTCTTGGATCTCACACCAACAATGAGAGGCAATTAAAGGAGAGGATTGAGTGAAAATTGAAGAGATGAGAGAGAGAGAGAGAGACTAAGCGCTGATTGAAGTGTAGATTTGTCTTTTATTGCGATCTGGAAACTAAGGTGAGTTATTCTTTGCCTTCTCAAAACATTTATCTGTTTTAATTATTGTCTGTTTTCTAGATGAAAAAGACTCGGAAAATAGAATAGAAATCTACACTTTTGGATCCTGGAATTTTTCGTGTGTAGGAAGGACCTGGCAAAATTTTTAACTTCACTCTTCTAACTCTTAACTCAATCTGATTCAGATCACATACTCCAATTTTCTTTTTCTTTTCCTTTTCCTTTCCTCCAATTTTCTCAAGCAGCCAAACAGAGCAGAGGAAAGCTTGAAAAAGCAAAGTCAGTAGTATAATATTCATTAGGCTCTCTGTTTCTATATAAGAAATAATAAGAAAATAGACAAGAAATCTACACTTCGAATCCTGAAAATTTTCACGTCTAGGACCTGGTACAATTTTGAACTTAACTCTTATTATTAAGTCTAGTTCAATCTGATTCAGATCGAATTTTCTTTTCTTTTCTTTTCTTTTCCTTTCGTCCATGTTTCTCAGCAGCCAAACAGAGCAGAGGAAGACTTGACAAAGCAGAAGTTAGTCAAGGGCCGAGGAAAGGAAGAGAGAGATGAGAGTGAAAATTTCTTTTCCTTTCCTCCGTTTTGATTAGGCTATGTTTTCTAGATGAGAAATAATAGGAAAATAGAAAAGAAATCTTCACTTCGGATACTGAAATTTTTTGCGTTTAGAACCAGATAAAATATTCAATTTCACTCTCCTTCCTTAAGTCTTAGACAATCTGATTCAGATCACACATGTACATATATGTGCATATAAACATCGAAGAGAGAAAGATGAGCGCAAATTTTATTTTCTTTTATTTTCCTTTCCAACATTTTTTTCAGCAGCCAAACAGAGTAGAGGAAAGCTTGAAGAAATAGAAGTCAGCAAAGAACGGAGGAAAAACCAATTAAACCTCAATTTCTATTTTCTTCTGGAACCAAATTAATATACATATATGTTTAATTTTGACCAAAACGGTAGAATTTAAAGCCTCATATTAACCAAAAAAAAAATCATAAAAAAAAGGCCATATTTGAAAGTTTATATTGTTTGTGAGAACTTTATTTTGGATTCTAATTTTGATTCTTCTTTTGCAAATTCATTTAGATGAGCAAGAGTTAAAAAAACATTCAGTCAATTAACAAGACTCTGTGTGTGAGCTCCTTGAGTATTGGCTTGCGAGATCAGAAATGGGCATCAAGTTCATTTTCTTGGCGATTTTCTTGGCAGAAACTATTTTCCTACTGGTGAACGCCGAGCCAATTGAAGACAAACAAGCCTTGCTTGATTTCATACATAACATTTCTCATTCGCGTCCTCTCAACTGGGATGTGAATTCTTCGGCTTGCAATAGCTGGACCGGAGTGACTTGCAACCATGATAAATCTAGAGTTACAGCTATCCGATTGCCCGGATTTGGCTTTCATGGCTCAATCCCCTCGAACACTCTAAGTCGCTTATCAGCGCTTCAGATCTTGAGTCTGAGATCTAATCGCGTATCGGGTTCTTTTCCTTCCGATTTCTCCAACCTTGGAAACTTGACTCTCCTCTATCTTCAATTCAACAAATTTTCTGGCTCTTTGCCTTTGGATTTCTCAGTTTGGATGAATCTCTCAGTCATCAATTTATCAAATAATGGTTTTAATGGTAGCATCCCTTATTCAATTGCAAATTTAACTCACCTCACCGCTCTCAATCTAGCTAACAACTCATTCTCTGGTAAAATCCCTGAATTGAATCTCCCCAGCCTGCAATTGTTGGATTTATCTAACAATAATCTTACTGGTTCTGTACCTCGATCTCTTCAAAGATTTCCGAATTCGGCTTTCTCAGGTAACAATCTTTCCCCTGAAAGTTCATCCCCTCCACTTCCTCTTGTTCCTTCACTTCCTCCACTTCCTCCACCCTCTCCACCTGAAGCTCGTCCATCAAAGACGCCCACAAAACTTAGTGAATCTGCAATACTGGGAATCATAATTGGTGGTTGTGCTCTGGGGTTTGTGGTGCTTGCTTTTCTGATGATTGTTTGCTACTCAAAGGAAAAAGGTGAAAATAGGGTCCCAACCAAGTCACATAGAAAAGAAGAGTCTGTAAAGAAAGTGGTTTCCGGGATCGAACATGGCAATGGTGACGACAAGCTTGTATTCTTTGAGGGCTCTAATCTTGCCTTTGACTTGGAAGATTTGTTGAGGGCTTCTGCTGAGGTGCTCGGGAAGGGGACACTTGGGACAACGTATAAGGCGGCGTTGGATGATGCAATGACGGTAGTGGTGAAGAGGTTGAAAGAAGTGAGCGTGGCGAAGCGAGAATTTCAGCAGCAGATGGAAGTTGTCGGAAATATTAAGCATGAAAATATAGCTGCAATAAGAGCATATTACTATTCCAAGGATGAAAAGCTCATAGTGTATGACTACTATAGCTCAGGGAGCCTGTCTGCAATTTTACATGGTAAAACATTTTTCAAACACTTCTATTTGTTCAATTGATGATTTAAATGTTTTCTAATGAATCCTAATTTTGCAGCTAAAAGAGGCGAAAACCAGTCTCCGCTAGACTGGGAAACCCGACTAAGAATTGCAATCGGTGCAGCAAGAGGCATTGCACATATCCACATACAAAATGGGAAGCTTGTTCATGGAAACATTAAGGCTTCAAACATTTTCCTCAACTCTGAACAATATGGTTGCGTTTCTGATCTTGGTTTGGCGACACTGACAAGTCCAACAACTCCACCAGTGATGCAGACTGCAGGGTACAGAGCCCCGGAAGTAACAGACACCCGAAAATTGTCCCAATCATCCGATGTCTACAGTTATGGAGTCTTGCTCCTCCAACTTCTCACCGGAAAGTCTCCAATCCACGCCACCGGTGGCGATGAGGTTGTACACTTGGTTAGATGGGTTCAATCGGTAGTGAGAGAGGAGTGGACCGCTGAAGTATTCGATGTGGAGCTGTTGAAGTATCCGAACATAGAGGAAGAGATGGTGGAAATGTTACAAATAGGGTTGGCTTGTGCAGTTAAAATGCCGGAGCAAAGACCTAAAATGGTGGATATAGTGAGAAGGGTTGAGGATATCCGACGGGTTGGTACTGGAAACCGGCCATCCTCGGAAGGTTCAACACCAACATTGACACCACCGATATTGACGCAGAGGGTGGATGAGATAGGATCATCCTCATCTTTTCCACAATGAGATAATTCATGTTGGAAATTATTCATTCATGTTGTTTGACTAATGGTGTGCCTGACAATAGTTAGTTCATCTAACACGATATACAGGTATTGGTCAAAGTAAAGGTCACTAGGCATGTTATTTTCCAAACGTCATACGGAGAATAATGGAACCAACCCAATTCATGTCAAGTGTGTGTGTGTGTGTGTGTGTGTGTGTGTGTTTGTGTGTGTGGTTCCACTCTGGATTTTTATTTACTGGGCTTCCACTGATATTAGGTGGACTTTGATTTCATGATAGAACATTCATCACCAACCATTTTCTCACCCACTCAGGAATTTGTCATTGATGACTAGGATTTGCAAGTAATTGTATTCTCTAGTGGGTCACTTATTAGTATGTAATCGGTTCGGTCAAGATTACAGCAAACTTTAGTATCAAACTGAACAGTTTTATTTTGTTAGCTGAGGAACTCAAATTGGCCAAATGCTACTATTCAGTTTTGTTGATTTTTCAATTTAGCATACAAAGGACCAAGTGTTTTATGGAAATCTGTAAAATCCCGCATCAAAAATAAAGGAAATAATAAAACTAAAGGTCTGTTTGGAAAGAACTAAAGTGGACTTTTTTGGCTATTTTAGCCACAAAAGACAAAATAGGCTATTTTAGTCACAAAAAATAAAACATCACATCCAATCCATAATCATTATACTCTTTTCTCATAAAAAAAAATCAAAAAAGTCAAAAAGTTAAAAAGTCCTTCTCAAATCAAGCTTTTTAGCCAAGGCTAAAATAGCCAAAAAAATTAAAAAGTCAAAAAGTCAACCCACTTCCCAAACGGAGGCTAATAATCTGGAATTTATACCATGAATTTTACTCATAAAAAGGATGTGTAGTCAAAGATTAAACTCTTTCATGGTAGGTCCTATATACCTACAATGAATCTAACTCAGACATTGATAAGGTATAGCATTGGCCAGTTACCTTATAGAAAGAATCAGAACACCAAACAAAAAAACTGAATATGTAGTTAATTTCAGACGATTGGTTTGCCTTCCAAGTTTTTGCAAAACTCACTTGTATATGCGGGGAGGGGATCGGTGGGCTAGGGTTGGAACCCAGACTTCCTCTTCAAGCCCTCCCTACCACTGGGACAAGCTGCATGCTCCATTGCACGCGCAAAGTCACCTAGTTGGAAATAATGGGCCCACAAAATTGTTGGTTACGGGAGCCAGTGGAATATTATGATTCAACATCAATTAACAAAGGTTTAACCATGTTCATATAAGCATTTTGTGCACCCTCCCTGCAAGCTGGTTTTCAAGAGTGAATTCTACTCAAGGGTTCATATCACCTTCTAACCAGGGGAAAAAAAAGGATAAAAATAAATAAATAAAAATGGGTACACTTGCACGAGTAAATTGAAGCAAAGTAATGAAAGTTGCAAATCATTGCGACCTGGTTATCTCCAGGACAAAGTACAAAGAATCAAAGTCACAATTTGAAATGTCCCATTTAAGAAATGTCCGCAGTGGTAATCAAATTCATATTGACATGAGAGATACTGATAATCACAACTAGTACACGCATATAAGATTTGTTTGTAGAGAAAAAAGGAAAAACAATTACAACCAAAGATTAAATACACAAACAATAAGCTATATTATCTGGTGTGGTCTGGGTTAATGCTAAAGCAGAACTCAGTTTTGCGACCAGAAAAGAATCAATCACCTTTTTATGTCAACCAATGCTAACAGGCAAATCATTTCCGCACAATTCTTGTTTAAACACCGCTTGAAATTCAAAAACATCAAAAGCTTCGAGAGCAACTCATTTCCACACAATTCTTGTTCTAACACCACCTGCAATTACAAAACAACAAGAGCTTCAGGAGTTGAACAACAATTTAAGTTTAACTCAAACCAAAACATGCAAAATATGGTGTGGTAATATTGCACAGGCCAAATACTTTCTAAAGAAGATATGTATCACATACCTTCAACTTCCTCAAATTGAACTTCCTTCACAAGATCTGCGGATGCATTATACTCAAACCTGCAAAAATATGCGCAGCGTGCTGTTAATTAAAGCAACATAAAAGTGAAAAAAAAAAAGACAGTAGCTAAACAAAAATACAAAAAGGAAAGTCTCCACCGAATTAATGAAAAATTTAGTAGGCTGCCAGAGAAATTTTCATGTATTTGTTAAATTCCAACCAGATCTCACTATTAAAAGAGGAATTCCTTGTATTATATTAACTAATGGGACAACAGTTGGTTAGATGCAATGTCTTCAAAATTGAGAGAACGATTTGATGTTAATGTAACCACTGTTGTAATTAATGAAAAATTTTATTAATTTTATTCATAAAACCACTCAGTTTTATTTACTTGCTACATTTCCCTCATCATCAACTATTACATCTGAAGACACATCACTATTTTTTACACTAATGATTACATTTCGTAAAACATTAGAAAATTCTGCGGAGTCCATAACAACTATTCCTTTACGATCAATTTCCTTTTTGCTAACACCAACCTCCGAAATCGACAGACCAGGATCAACATCACTAGTATCATCACCATCTCTGCGTACATCAATCTCAGACAAACTCAGATGACCTCTACGTTCTTGAATAACTGAACCACTTTCCCCAAAACCTCCTAACAACAAATCTCTTTGTCTCTCCGGTAAACGCACAGACTTAGTCCGTGTCAGAATCGAAATGGCCTTCGGTGGGGCACAATGCCAAACATCAACATTATCATTAGTATATTTTTTAGATAACACAACAATAAATGGGGCCCTTATTTGCGAATCTTCTAGCATGTCACTTGTAGAATACTTCAAATACCCCTTCATTTTATAATACGTAATCCCCCTTTTAATATTCGAATTTTCAAGTAGATACTTGACCATCCATGGCACCTTTTTGTCATTAATTGAACAACAACGATTCCCATAATAGACTAACTCGCATTGACAATCCACAGGGAAAAGAAACCACGCCTACAGACTGTCATTACCATCTAACCTCTGATCATAAACATTTACCAACTGGCATTGGGTGCGCAAAGGGGGAATATTTTATCAACTTTAATATTCTTTTGTTTGTATCTCAACCTCAACTGAGAAAATAAATTAGGTAACGCAAGTTCAATACAACTTAAATCACTTGCTGAAACACCTTCAACAACACTAGTTTTTATATCGTCCACCTTCATTCAAAACATGAACATTACAAATAAAAATACATAAATTATAATTTTAAATAGTCTTAAAGTACATTTGACTCCTTAACGCAATTTTGCATTCTTTTCCACTAACAATAGCAACCACTAAATATATGACACCTTTTTGAATACTTCCAACATTTCCCAACAGCGTATCTTTGTAATCCGTCCAAACATCAACTGGGAAGAACCGGTCCACAACTTCTATCCCATGACGAATGTACTCTTTGTCTTTGCTACCAACGAGCTTGAATCTCATTTTCTTTAGCATCCGAAACCGGTCGGACTGGTCATGATGAACAATCCAGGTCTCAAGATTACCCTCGCCAACTCCAATAAATATCTTGTCAGGTGTGGGGACAAAATCTGACTGACTATTATCATTTATGATGAAAAATAATATGTGGTGGATCACAATTTCGTCTTTAGCATCTTGTCCCAATTGAACATTCCCAATTAATTTTATACCCTTAGCCATGATTTTATTTAATTGACAGTCACATCTCTTATTACCCAACTCAATACCATTAAGCAATCTCGCCACACCTTTACTGTCAAATTTAACGTTCCTTAATTGTTCATCATACAATTGTAACTTCCTTACTTCCCTCTTAGTCTTCTTAATATATCGGGAAATATTCTAAACATACCGTCTGCGAATGTATGCCGCCTTAAAAGGTGCACGACCACGATAACTACGCTTATATCCACTAGTTGCCGGTGTCCTTGGCCAGAGGTACGTAAAGGGATTCCGATACTGGCTGCTCATTACTCCCATTTTTTATAAAACACTTCAAATCTTTTATCCTACAAATTCTGCAGATTCTCTTACCTCTGCTAACCCTTATGTTCAAACAGCTTAGCTTTGATATTTTTGCCCTCTGCTCCTCATACACCGGAACAAACTTCGCTGGAGTTGATCGTCGCCTCTCTTCCCACAATCCTATTTGCCACGTCAAAAAACGATTTACACATATTTGAGTGAACTGCCCGTAATTCTCGGGATATTCTTCTAAGGAGTACAACATTGTATACCAAAACAATCAACAAAAAAAAAAAGACTGAAAAGGAGGGACGAAACAAGGTATCAGAAAACAACTTCACCACAATAGTTATCCCACCACAAAAGCATATTCCTCTATACCATCAAAGATGTTCTAGTACCAAATAAATAGCAAAGCTTCCCCGTGATTAAGTACGAAGATTCCCCATTCAAAATAATTCAAACACATTTATTTTCCTGCCTTTGCTTTATGTCTATCATTCTGCAAGAATATTTACTTTACAACCACGCAAACTACCAGAAAAGTGACACGTATATAGCACTATCTAACAAAAGAATCAAAAGTACTCACACAACTCACACTTGGGCCCGGGTGTGACTTCCTTTTAACCCCATCCATACACGTGTCCAAAAGTACAACAATGAACGGTCCAGATCAGCAGGAGGGAGGGGGGCGCTAGTAATATTAATACAGCGCCCCCCTAGTCACACCACTCACACTGGGTTTTTTAACTAATAGGGAGGCCTTGTACGGCTGGTGTGAGTTCATTGTTTACTACTACAAAATGCTTCGCCAAGCCTTTTTCCGTTTCTATGCCAAGAATGTTTTCCTCACCTACCCACAATGCCCATGCCCAAAAAAACAACTCTTAGAACTCCAACCCCTTCTCCAACTAGCCTGTTGGCAATACTATATACTTGTCGCAAGGGAGCTCCACAAAGATGGAAACCCTCACCTTCATACCATGGTTCAATGCACAAAGAAGATCCAAACTACCAACTCGAGATTTTTCGATCTCACTAGAATCAACAGGAGGATCTATCATCCAAATATAAAAAAACTCCATTCTCCAACAGCAAGTCGACAGTATATACAGAAAGGGGGCGACATCGTAGAATGGGGAGAATTTTCATCTAAGGGGAAAAGTCTTTCGAAGAACAGAGACGAACTCTGGAGGGGAATACTTGCAGAAGCAGAAATGGATGAACAATTCTTTGCACTCTGCAAAGAAAGATGTCCCACTGATTGCGTCACAAAACACTCCCAATTAAAAACTTTTTAAAAGATCATTACAAAAGAGAGGCCTCCATATACTAGCCCCTTTAATTCATTTCCTTTCTTAAATGAAAAAGTAAAAAAATGAGCAGAAAATAATATTTTGTTTGTAAGTTGAAGTTTTGTACAATACGAGTTATGTCAAAATTGTTGTCTCTCCGTTTAGAGGGAAGACGACTGGATTAGATTAGGGATACACAAAAATAATATCAACAATTTATATACTGACAAAGAACTCTCATTCTCCTCTGATAACAAAAACCAGAACAACGGCCCATCCGCCCAATCTCCCTTTACCTCGAAGGACCCTCAAGAACAAGCAAAACCGCCTGGGCCAGAAGTCTCGGACGACACAATTACTTCTCCAGCAGAGTAAGCTTTAAGGGCTACAACCAAGACGCCGTCTACAACGTCATAGACGACATCAAATACTTGACAATCCCCTACCGAATTAATGAAAAATTTAGTAGGCTACCAGAGAGATTTTTATATATTTGTTAAATTGCAATCAGATCTCACTATTAGAAGAGGAATTCCTTGTATTATATTAACTAATGGGGACAGTAGTTGGTTAGATGCAATGTCCCCAAAAATGAGAGAATGGTTTGATATTAATGTAACCACTGTCATGATTAATGAAAAACTTTATTAATTTTATTTATGAAACCATTCAAAATTTTATTTACTTACTATATTTTCCTTATCATCAACTATTACATCTTGAGTCACATCACTATTTTTTACACTAATGATTACATTTCGTAAAACATTAGAAAATTCTGCTTAATTCGATACAGACTGTCGAGTATTTGATGTCGTCTATGACATTGTAAATGGCGTCTTGGTCGTAGTCCTTGAAGCTTATTCTGCCGGGCGCTATCTCTACTTCACATTTTTAGCACAATGACTATCTTGTCCCATTAATTTCAAAAGTTTCCCCATCAAATTCAGCTCAAATAACTTTGTAATACAAATTGATTATCTTCATAGTATTTTTCAACAATAATTAAATGCACATATCATGCATCCTTGCATGCATACGTTTGCATACACATGCACAATCACTAGTAATCAAAGTGAAGGAGATGAAGACTACCAATAGCAGCTCCCAAAAAATCTAACTAGCCATGGGTGCACATGTGATTCGCATGCAAAGATCTAAAATTTATTAATACAAAAGATAAATAGGCAAACATCGATGTTTGAATCAATTTGATTTTTTAACCTGGCAGTGTGGGTATATAAAATAAAAAAATAAAAAAGGCATGACCAAGAGTTCACACCAAATGACCTATACACTTTATATAATTTTATACGCATTAAAACATGTCGAGTGTAGGAATTCAAGACATGAATGTATCAGCAGTGAAGAAGAGTGAATTGAATACAACTTGAATCTCAACTTCTCACGGTAGACACACAAGACTAGAACTCACAAATCAAGGTTGAAATGCATAAAAGGTTAAAAGGGTTCACCGATGATTTTGAACCAAGCCTACTTAGGAAAGCCTATAATCCCAACAAACAACCCTTTCACCACTTGATCAAAGCAGTTGTACAGACAGAACATTCTTACATATATTTCTTGATAAATGGTTGTGTGATGGGAAAGGAAAGAAGATAAAATAAAATAATTATTATAAGCATAACGAGTGACAGCATAAGATCCATTTACCTGTTGGAGAAAACCACCTCGAGTTCATAGTCGGATGTGCTCTTGTTAGCTTCTACCAACAGAGTCACAATTTGAGTCTTTCGAGTACTAGCCAAGAGCATATCATATTCTGTTGGGATGATAATAGCAAGGAAATTGTCACTCAGTTCACTCAAACAAAACTTGTCTACAGCTGCCAGGGCAATCCGCCTTTTAAGTGTATCAGTCTCCGGGTCAACCATGTAAATGGCAAAGTCAGTAATTATAAGAATACGTCGTTTCATCTTTCCTGAAGCGGTAAACTTCAAAACTTTATCTGCGAACAGAACTTTATCGTCACCTGTGGAATGGAAGATGGTAGTTTGGAAAATAACAGAAAAAGCATTGATAAAAAACTCTCGGATTGACAGTGAGATTTTTTACAATTAATCTAGTATGCTCTAAATCAATGAAGGCATTTTTCATTCCCATATTAAACATTCAGAGAACTGCTCCAACCCCAACCACCCAAATACACTTTCATGTATTGCATGCAAGAACAAAATATACCTTATAGAAATGATTGTGAGAAGGGATGCTGCCCTTTGCATGTGAGGTGTAACTAACTTGGAACAACGCCCATGCATTAGCATTAATATTTCAAATTCCTTCATCTTACTTTAGTTGTCCAGTTTTCAACAACTCTTCCATTTGCCATCATCACCATCTCCGATGGTTGTGGGGATTTCTTGTTCTTTCAACAATCAGAACCAAATATCAATTCTCTGCATATTTATTCACTTATCTTTTGTTGTAGTGTCCACTTTCCAACAACTCTTTTGTTTACCATCACCTATGAAGTACGGACACGGACACGGACACGGACACGGACACGGCAATTTCAAAAAAATGGGGACACGGACACGGCGAGAGACACGGTGAATTTTTTTTTTATTAGATATTTTTATGCGTTATGTAGATTCATATTATATTCATCCTAAATCAAAATTAACAAACACTAATATAGTAACATTAATTCCATAAATATAAGAGAGGGAAAAAAAATTATAACCATTTTTTTTTATGAGTGAGGAGTGACTTTCTGGAGAAGAATGCCACCATAACCAATATCAGAAGCATCAGTTTGAATAATTTTGAATGAATTCTCAGTAGGAATACCAAGACAAGGAAGAGACTTAACATATTATTTGACTTGTTGAACAATAATAGTATGAACAGAAGACCAAAGACGAGGGTTATCCTTTAACCTATCAAATAGAGGTTGACAGACTTTCCGACATTTTATTGGTACCCCTACTAATATTTATTCTCGCATACATGATTAACTTAGTAATCTTACCTATCCAACTTTAAGTGATTTTAGATGGTATAAAGATGTATTTACTTCCAGAGTTATGTTGAGAGAAGACTATACTAAATCATTTTGGAAAGAAAAATTTATTAATGGATTACCTAGTTTATTCGCTCACAAAATTAGAGAAGTTCTCAGTCAACCTACTGGTGTTATTGAATATGATAATTTAACCTATGGTGATATAATTAGCACGATTCAAAAAGAAGGATTAAAAATGTGTATTGACCTTAAACGTAGTCAAAAAGCCACTAAAGATAAACATAAAGCTAACTATGAATTAGGAAATTTCTGTGAACAATATAGTTTACCTCCTGTAGCACCCTCTCGTAGGAAATCACATAAATATTCTAAACATAAATATAAATCCAACTATAAATACAAAAAGAACTATTCACCTTCCAAATCCAATGATAAATTTTATACTAAACCCAAAAAGAAATATTACAAAAAATCTAAATCTACTAAAGATATTACCTGTTATAACTGTGGTAAAAAATGTCATTATTCTAATAAATGTAAAGAAAAACAAAAATTAAAAGATAAGATTAATCAATTACAAATCAATGATGAATATAAGAATCAAATATTTGAAATCTTTCAATTAAACCAATCTGTTAGTAATTCATCTTCTATTAATCCAGAAACTTCCTCTGATAATAGTTCACCTAGTAGTGATTCTGATAATAATATAACCCTAGGATGCAATGATGTCTGCTGTAAACCAGTTAAACAAATTACCGTTCTTACCAAACAAACTCAAGAAGAATATGCTCTCATTGACTTAATTAGTAAATTAGATGATCCTACTCTAAAACAAAAATATATTGATAAATTAAAATCTCTATTAATTCATTCAGACAATAAACCTAAGTTTGATAAGCCTATTATTAGTCTATCCAAGACTTTAGAAAGATTCAAAAATAAAACTAAAGAAATTACGTTACAAGATAAACAATCTGAGATCAATCAAATTAAACAAACTATCAAAGATTTGCAACATAAAGACAGAAAATTAGAAGATGAAATTATTACTCTAAAACTTAATCACAGTTTAAATAATTTCAAACCCAATTCACATCAATCACGTCATGAATCTGACAATAACTCTGAACATGATTTTGATCATACTAATCCTGATAAACTCTTATTTGATAATCGATCTCCATCAAATAATCTTGAAGACAAACGCTTAAATCTAATTAACAAAATTTATATTCAAAAATGGTATTCAAAAATTAAAATTGTTGTTGAAGACTTTGTAATCGAATTAAGTGCTTTAATCGACACTGGTGCTGATTTAAATTGTGTCCAAGAAGGATTACTCCCTACTAAGTATTATGAAAAATGTCATGAAAAATTAACTTCTGCTAATGGTAGTCAAATGTATATCAAATATAAATTACCTAAAGTTCATGTTTGTCAAGATAATGCATGCTTTAAAACTTCATTTGTTTTAGTTAAAAACATGACTGACAAGATCATTCTAGGTACGCCATTTATCTATTTACTATATCCATTTACTACATCTAGTGAAGGCATAACTACTCATGTTTTAGGACAACCTGTTACATTTAAATTTTTATCTCCACCTGAAATGTTAGAATTAAATCAATTAAAAGATTGCTCTATTTCTCATACTATTAATAGATTAACTCGACAGTTAAATTTCCTTAAAGAAGAAATCAATTATAAACGTATTGACCAACAATTGACTGATCCAAATTAATGATTTTCAATTAAAATTAGAATCGACTGTTTGTTCGACTTTACCTACTGCATTTTGACATAGGAAAAAGCATGTAGTTACTTTACCATACATTAAGAATTTTAATGAACGACAAATACCTACTAAATCTAAACCCATTCAAATGAATCATGATTTACTTGAGATGTGTAAAAAAGAAATTAATTAATTATTAAAAAATAGAATAATTAGCCCTAGTAAATCACCATGGCCATGTCCTGCTTTTTATGTTAACAAAAATGCTGAATTAGAACAAGGACTCCCTCGCCTAGTCATTAATTATAAACCATTAAATGCTGTTTTAGAATGGATTCGATATCCTATTCTTAATAAAAAAGATTTGATTAAACGCCTTAGTCAAGCTGTTATTTTTAGTAAATTTGATTTAAAAAGTGATTTTTGGCAAATCCAAATTCACCCTAAAGATAGATACAAAACTGCTTTTAATACACCCTTTGGTCAATATGAATGGAATGTCATGCCCTTTGGTTTGAAAAATGCTCCTAGTGAATTTCAAAATATAATGAATGACATATTCAACCCATTTAGCCATTTCTCTATTGTTTACATTGATGACATATTAATTTTTTCAAAATCAATTACTAAACATTGGAAAGATTTAACTGCATTCTTTTATACAATTAAAAGTCATTGTTTAGTTATCTCTGCTCCTAAGATTAAATTGTTTCAAACTAAAGTTAAATTTTTAGGCTACGATATTCATCACAATACTATCCTCCCTATTAGTCGCTCAATTGAGTTTGCGTCTAAGTTTCCTGATGAAATTCTTGATAAAACTCAATTACAAAGATTCTTAGGTTCTCTCAATTACATTGCTGAGTTCTATAAAGACCTCCGGAAAGTCTGTCAACCTCTATTTGATAGGTTAAACGATAACCCTCCTCCTTGGTCTTCTGTTCATACTATTATTGTTCAACAAGTCAAACAATATGTTAAGTCTCTTCCTTGTCTTGGTATTCCTACTGAGAATTCATTTAAAATTATTCAAACTGATGCTTCTGATATTGGTTATGGTGGCATTCTTCTCCAGAAAGTCACTTCTCACTCAACTGAACAAATTGTTCGCTACCATTCTGGTGTCTGGAATAAAGCACAATTAAATTATAGTACTATTAAAAAAGAAATTTTATCTACTGTTTTATGTATTCAAAAATTTCAAGATGATATCTTAAATCAAAAATTTTTACTTCGTGTTGATTGCTAATCTGCCAAATATGTTTTAGAAAAAGATGTTTAAAATCTTGCTAGTCGACAAATTTTTGCCCGTTGGCAATCTATTTTAAGTATTTTTTATTTTGATATTACCTACATCCCTGGTTGTCAAAATTCCCTTCCTGATTTTTTTACCCGCGAATTTTTACAGGGGGTAAGGGATGAGTGCTACTCCACACATTGCCTATATTAAAACCCAAATTACCCATTACACAACCCTGATACGCCAAGTTAACCACCGTATGCATCGCCTCAAATTAGCCAAACCTACTACTAAAAGAGCTCAATATATTAACCACCATCAGATTAAAGCTCGTCGCCATTTACTCATTGATTACATTAGTCATTTGAATTACTACCAGAATTATTTAGATCTTCTTTCTGGTTGCTAATCATTGTTTCCTGTTTCACAGATGTCTCGTCCAAGGCCTCCTTCGAAGGCTTTGGTCCCTTCTTCAAGTAAACCTAATCAACTCCATGTTCCGCCTCCTTTGGAGTCAATCACCCAATCTCACTCCATTGAAATGATTAACCGTTACCAAGTTCTTGGTAACATTCCCGGACCCAATTACTCATCTGCTTTGGCTACTGATCCTTTTGCCTCTTCCAGCCAAACGGTCTCAGTCACTCCATTCCCTGCTAACCCCGTCAGGTCATCTCAATCTGATTATACCAAATCACACACCACCAACCTGTTCTACAAAGAACCCAGTCATCCCAAGAGTCAAACCATTAATGAAATTGCTAAATCCTATTTTGGCTCGGGATGCCATTTCATTCTCTCACATCCAAAGATAACACTCTCCTATTACAAAGATATTTTGATCCATCATCAATTAGTTCTGATCAAACCAATCCAGGATAGAACCTATGCTTACAAGCTTCTGTATCATTCTATTTACATCCACAACATTGTTTCCTTAGCTGAATGGGGTCCTTATCAGCTTCGTGATTTACCAGGACACACTATTCAATACAATTACCATGACTACATAGATGCCTGGTTCAAGATCTTCTCGTACCAAAATGAAAACTTCAGTCACTCTTGGTTCATTTCTTTTGATCAAAAATTCAAGTCAGAATTACCTTTCTGGTTTTTGAGATGGTGGACTCATTATGGCGCCATCTCAGATATCCTCCCTAATGAATTGATTGAATTAATTAATTATTTTGCCTCTGTTTACCCATTCACTGCTCATCAGAGATCATTTCCATCATTGTTAATTTTTATGTCCAAATACAAAATACCCTGGATATTCAAATGGCATTATGGAATTGATGATAAAATAGTCATTCGTCAGCATTCAGTCAATGGTGGGCTAAATTTAATGTGCCCCACATATTTGAAATTGCTCAAGAAGAATTCCCCATTAATCAATGTGCTCCTACTCCTGCACTTGCTCATGCTCGGTAGAACCCAACTGCTGCAATTAGCCAAGGAAGTCAACCCAGTCTTCCTCCGATCAATCTTGGAAGCCCCTCATCTAGTGGTTCCAAGCCCATACCATCCAAGTCAAAAATTACTTCATCCACTGATAAATCAAAGTCCAAGGCTAAGTCCAAAGCTCCTGCAGTAACAGCTCAGCCAAAGACTCAATCAAAGCCCAAATCAAAAGCTAAGGCTACGCCCATTACGTCTCCTGCTCAGCCCAAAGTAAAGTCCAAAACCAAGTCCAAGTCATCCAGAGATGAACTGCTTCAATTAGCCCGCAAACTTGTGGACCAAGCTGAAGCCCAATCAACTTCCAATTCAGATAGCTCAGAAGAAGGCTCAGGAAGTTCCCATTCTTCTGAAGGATCAACTACTCAACCCATCTCATATGGACGTTCTGAGTTCCAAGATGCTCAGGACCCACATGCTTGATCAACATAGGATTCTCTATAAATATAAATTAGCTTCAATCAATACTCTTTTTAAGAAAAGCTGCTAATTTGTATTTATATTGAACCCTTATTTAAATGATCCACCGAAAGTGATAAATAGTAAAAATTACTGTTCACTTTTACTATTCACCATCACTATTCACCCAATTAACTTTTGTGAAAAGCTGCTCAACTGTGCAATCACTCCACCGAAAGCAACCGACAACATCTGCTTTGCCCATGCGCTGCCAGCTGCTTTCATCAATCTAAAGTCACATGGCTACTTTATATTTCTATATATTGTAATCACATGATAATCACTCGGCACTCTTCAATTCAGGATCTTTCAGTGTTTTGAAAAACCAGAGAGCTCTGAGTGAAATTTACCTCTTTCTGTTTGTACCTAGTTAAGATCCTTGCAGTTGCTACGATTGTAATTGTAAGTTATTTTATGTATTTTAATCATGTATTTTAATTAAAAATTTTATAACTTTTATATGAGATAATTTTGATTATTTAGTGCATATATTCCAACTCTGTTGTTCAATTTTAATCATATTTGATTTCGTAATCCATTTTCTTCATTTCATTGTTGTTTCCGCCTTATTTCCAACTCTGTTGTTCAATTTTAATCATATTTGATTTCGTAATCCATTTTCTTCATTTCATTGTTGTTTAATTATAACCATTTTGCAAAATTTGAACTAGACATTTTTTCTATAAATTATAGCCATTATAAATTAACATTAACATTAGAATGATAATTTTTTTTTTTTACATACTGTGTACATATATATAAACCTATAATTTTTTTTTTAAAAAAAGAAATACAACTTTAGAGATATATATATATATATACCAAGAGAGAGAGTATGAGAAACAAAGAGAGAGCAAGAGCGAGAGCGAGAGAGAGAGAGAAACAGAGAGAGAGAGAGGCTTACCTTCGAAGTCTTCGATCGACTGGATGGAGGTGGATCAACGATGCTCAAGTCGACTAGATGGAGGTGGATCGACTGGTTCTAGTTCAATGGATGGGGGTTTTCGATCGACTAGATCGACTATCTCACTGCCAACTGGTTCAATGGGGGTCTTCGTTCGATTGGATCGACTGTCTCACTACCGACTAGTTCAATGGATGGTATAAACAATTTATACATCGTTGTTTTTTTTTCTTCTTCTTCTTTTTAAATATTACATTTTGACCTCAAATAAATATAACAAAATTAAAAATGAGCCCCGCCATGTCCCGATATGGACACGCGTGTCCCCGCTGTGTCCCTTACAAAAAAATCATTAAATCGTGTCCCGTACGTATTCCCAGCGTGTCCTCGTGTCGGACACTGCCACGGCACCGATTTTGGAGTGTCCATGATTCATAGACCATCACCATTTCCGATAAAAGTGGGGATTGCTTGTGCTTTCAATAATTAAAACCAAATATTAATTCTCTACATATTTATTCGCTTACTTTTGTTGAAGAGTGGGGTGTTCAATGTACTTCCAAAAATATAAACAATAATTAGACCAAGTTTGGCAATAGGCTACTTTAGCCAAAAAGTCAAAAAACCACTACCAAAAACATCAACTCTTCACTCTACTTGTCTATATATCTTTTTGGAAAAAATCAAAAAGTCAACTAAAATAGCTAGTTCCCAAAACAACCCTTAATGCAAGTAACTAAACCCACAAAAGGAACAGAAAGAAATTGTGTGGGGGTGTGCTCTAGCCCCCACAAACAAAGACAGTTTTTATAAGAAAAAAAAGGTCCTACATTTCAAAATTCCTATATGCCTTTATATGAATGTTCCATGGACTGAAACACTATCACAGAAAGTTCCAGGTTAAAAACACAAGTTGGCGATGTACAAAGAGTCATCCCTACACTAATTATTACTTAGAAACATGGTCAATGCTTCAAGATCCCAAATGACATTAAACATATAACGTAACAAAAATGTTTAAATACACCACACCAAAGAAATGAATTTTATTCAAAAGGAAAGTAAAACACAGAATCATTCTATTTCCACCAATTTGCAGTGAGCTACAGCTCACAATACACAAATGCGTATTTTAACGAGTAATGACAAATTTCGAACAACTCAAAATTCGCTAAACAGTGACCATCGCCTCCAACTTCAAGTAAACTGAGGATTTTGATTTTGTTCGGTGTTGGATAATGGTGTATTACCCTTTCTCAAACGACCAACAAGAGCCTATGCATTCTAGTTGGATGTGAAATGAGAGAAACAAACTAGCCCAGCCAGGACCTAATGATCAGAAGATAGTGACGATTACATGCAGTGTCAATGTTCACATAAGCCTTCAAACTTCTAAAATCCCAACTCGTAATCAACTGAAGTAATCAATTTCAGAAAAACCCTTTATATACTAGTATATTGCCTATTAATTATTTTCAAATTATACAAATTCGTCGCTTCTAGATTTTAAATAAAAATTAAGTGGTCCTTGCCTCTATAGACTATATCTATGAAATGAGAGTTCAAAATATAAAATTTAACAATTTTCACAAAAAATAACCAAAATAATAATAATAATAAAAATTCTCACAACTAGTGCCGACAAATTATGCATTATATAACTTCAACATGAACGTAGGGAAATATGTTTATTTATCTATAATAATGCCCATGCTATTATTCACATTTTATGTTAAGTAGAAATTGATATTATAATCTATACTTTCTTTCATCCCTGATTACGAATCAAAATCAAAATCAAAAGTTCATCCTCAAATTTCCAAACTTTATCATCAAACAACAAAATAATAAAAAATTCGCAATCAAATCAAACCAAACCATACCAAACCAAAAGCAATTATGAGAATTACCTTGTTTCCGAATAATCTTCATGAGAGAGGGGCGGGAAGGGACGTCGATATAGTCACCCCTGTAATCTCTATGACGAGAGGCTTCTCGGCGGACCTTGACTCCCATGAAAGGTTCTAGATCTTCGGTGGAATTGTGGTCTGAAGGTCTGAGTTTGGTACTTCCTTGATCTTCATCGCCATAGGCTAGGGTTTCAGATGCGTTTGCTTCATCATCATCGTCTTGGTGTTGGGCATCGCGGATCGGGATTCGGCGATGGGACTGAAATCGGCTCATTGTGGTGGTGGTGAAGAAGAGGAGTCTGGTTGGTTGGCGTAAAGTAAACGCTGTAGAGCCGTGAAGAAATCGCCGGAGACGTGTTTAAGAAGGCTGGAAAATTGGGAGGGAGACCGCGGGATGGGAAAGATGCAGCTGGTTGGTAGACCCCATCAATATGTCTCAAGTGTGGACTCCACGCGTTTATAATCTCACACTCACGGGAGGTATAAAGAGGGGTTGTGTGTTTTGACTTTTTACGAAATATTGAAATATGGATTGAGTTGAAACTGATGTGATAAAGTGATAATGTGATTTAAATAATATGATATAATTTAAATAGGATAATAATTTTTTTAATTTTTTTAAGAGATGTCAAATCTAATCTTAATTATGTATTTAATAAAAAACTTAGGCCGTGTTTGGAATGATTTCCAAATGTTGATTCTACCCTTACGTTCTAATATGATGTTTAGGCTCATTTTGGGAAGTAGGTTATAATCCATTTCCTGGATTATAACACAATTCCTCTCTTACAAAAAAACTGCTTATAAGCAGCTTTTAACCAAAAAATTGATTATAATTATCTTTCCAAAATAGCCCTTGGATAGAGTTTTAGAACTAATTTTCCACAACTCTGCAGAAAACTTTGCGTGTGAGTGTGATTTTCAAATTTTTTTTTTAAAAAATTTGGCCTAGTCGGTCGTCTCACCAGTCATTCGGCCGGTTGACTGGAACAGTGCAATTTTTTTTTTTGCAATTGACATATTTTAATTTTTATATATTCGAAAAGAATATTTTCTGAATTTTTTTTAAAAAAATTATGTGTTTTAATAGAATTTTGAGTTGTATATTTGGTTATGAGCTGTAAGTTTTTGTATCAAATGTCACATCAAAAATTCTCACTCAATTCAAAACTCTTTTACCAAACAAATTTTTCACATTCAAATCATAATTTCAAAACTCACAAATTCAAAATACAACTCCTACTCTCAAATTATAATTAAAAAGTTCTACCAAATGCAACCTCAATACTTCTAGCGTGACCTAACTTTTTATGTAGGTGTAAAATTTTTGCATGAGTCTATGAAAGGTTTTGTATAAAATTTAATAGATTATTTAAAGCAGAAATGAGCCGTAGCTCGACACCAAGGGCTCGAATTGGCTCGAAAGAGGGAGAGGAGAAAGAGAAGGGAGGGAGAGGAAGAAGGGAGGGAGGAGATCGTCGCGCAGCACCACCGCCGTCGCCTCGCCGCCGATCGTTGCAGCTTCAGACTTTCGCCTCGCCGATCGTCGCACCACCGCCACCGCCTCGCCGATCGTCGCAATCGCAGTCGCAGCCCTGCCTCCTCCTCCAGCCGATTTTTATGGCCCCCTCCCCTCCCCTCCCCTCCTTCCTCCTCCTCCTCCTCTTCTTCTCCCTTCTTCTTCTTCTTCTTCTTCTTTGTTCTGCAACAAAAATACGAAAAAAATAAAAAAGAAAAAGAAAAAAAATCGACACCAAAACGACGTCGTTTTGGTGTTGAGCCAAACTCGAGCCACGGGTTTCGAGCTACGTAGCACTACCGTATTTAAAGTTTATAATATTTTTATAATTGTTATTTAAAGATTTGATTATTTTAGTTTGATTACAATATTTAGGATAATAGTTAGCTCTTTTAGTAGTTAATTTAATAATTATAAAAGAAAAAATAAAGTGATTGGATATAATATTTTATCTTATTAATTATTTTAATTTAATTTATTTTTACTAATTATTTTAACTAAAAAAAATTAGAAAAGTCATATTCCAAACACGCCTTGGTCCTGGCCGTGAACTTGCCTTTCACTAGTCAATTGTGCCATCCTCAATTTTTTTATTATTTAAAGTCGTATCTCAAACAGGCCTAGGGTCCTGGCCGTGAGCTTGGCTTTCACTAGTCTCAATTGTGCTATCCTCAAAAATTTTTAATTTTTTTTAAATAAAAATTATTTTCATAAAAATAAATATTAAAATATATTTTTAAATTTTAAAAAATTATTCATACCCTTTAAAAAAATAAATTTATATGAAAATGGTGAATATTTGTGTTTTAGAAAATTTTATGAAAATAGATTCTAAAATTCAAACCAACGAGAGTCATTTTAAAAAAATTATTTTTGAATAGGTATTTGTTATTTTAGTGGATTTTTAAAATATATTTTACGTAAATTTTTTTACTTTTTAGATATATTTAATTTGAATAAAAACTTGCATGCATTTCTGTTTGGTGTTGGTTAAATTCTCCCCCTCCCTCCCCCCCTCCCTCCATCCATTTTTTAGAAGTATTTAATCTTAATGTATAGGAAAAAAAATTAATTACAATATAAAAAATCATTAAAGACAAACGAAAATTCATCTAAAAATAGCTTTTGAAAATCATTTTGTTATAATTTTTTTTTTGAGCATTCCAGTCATAAATGCAAATTTTAAAATTTTGAAGACAATTGTCTCAATTTTTTTTTTGGGTCTAAAATAACAATAACAATTTAAAAGAATGTATTATTCTTACTTAATTGTCAATCAATTTACAAGTCTATTTATCTGTCCACATTTCCGTCACCAACGGTGACTATTCAATGAATTTTTGGCGCCAATAAATTTCCAACCAATATATTTCATTATGTCTTTACATACACCTTTCTTATATTTTATTAATTTTAGTTCATTTTAAGATTAATTACCTACAAGTCCTCTTTGTAGAGATAATAAAAACCCAATTCAAAAATTAAATGGACTTAAAATTTTAATTCGATAAAAATCTATAGGTTAAATATTTTTTCAAACTCTACGAATATTGATTTGGATTAGGAGGGCCGAGCAAACTATCAAGCTTATGGCTAACCTCTGACTAGAGATAGATCACATGAAGCGTTGATTTAAATTAACACAAAAAATTAATGTAATTAAAATTGAATTAATCAAATTGTCACAGTAAAATAATTATAAAAAAAAAGAGCAAAAGATACTTGTGTATTAAAACATAAAATTAATGTAAGCAAAATTAGAGATTAATTAAAAGACACTCAGGTTAGAAATTTATTTATGAAATTGTTGGGCCACTATACGTGTAAGTTTAAATTTTTTCGAGGCAAATGGACATTATAAGTAAAAAATGACATATATTGGTTCAAAATTACTTATGTCTATTGGTTTAAATGTCACAAATGTACACGTGTTATATATTTGTTCAAATATCTAACTATCTATACACATGCCATTTGTATGTTCACTGATCTTATTCAATATCACCTATTTGTCTATCTTATTACTGCCAGTTGTTGTTACCGACCATCAGTGATTTTTCAATGACTTTTTCAGTTAAGTTTTTAGCATTAATAACTTTTCAACGCGTGTTCTTATCATACCAAAAAAAAAAAAAAAAATTAAACTAAATAACATATAGCCCCATAGGAATAAATTATTCACAAATTAACTCTTAATTAAATTGAAAAATTACAAATTAGTGGGACAATAAGAAAATTACACTGTAATTAAAATATTTTATGATACAATTTTGAGATACATAAGGATCTTGTACCAAGCACAATAATGATACAATTTTGAGACACATAAGGATCTTGTACCAAGCACAATAAAGTTTTGAACATGTAAAGAAAATTTGCACAACTATAAAAATGCAAATATTATTTTAACATGTTGCTAATTATAAAAAAAATATTTATGTATGTTACTTTTTTTTTAAAGGGATTTGGTCAAAATCTCTTCGTAATAAAATTTTAATGTATTAAGGGCTCGTTTGGCAAGTTAATATTTTAGTTAAAAAGTCAAAAAGTTACTAAAAAAGTCAAAAAATCTATAACCTATACAAAAAAGTCAAAGATTCCTTTTCTCTCTACTTTTTACACATTTTTTGTAAAAATTTAAGCAGTCACCCAAAACATACTAGTAAAACATGCTAGTTTTTTTTACCTCATATTTTAACAAAAAAACTAAAAAGTTAATAAAATAATCTGTTTCCAAACGAGGCCTTATAAATACAAAAAAATTCATTGAAAAGTTCAATAAATATCATTATTATCAAAATATTAAATTTTAAAATAATATAATTTTTGATGTAAATGTCGATTTTTAATAAAATTAATATTTTTAAAATTTTCTCATCAAAATCTATCACATAAGATATATGTTGACTATGAATTTTTTTTTTTTAAAAAAATTATTACCGTTGAAATTAATATATACAATAACTATTTGACAATAATATGTTATATTGTCTTACAGTAACATGTTACTCTATTTAATAATAATATGTTACTCTATTTAATAGTAACATGTTACTCTAATTCACAATAATATATTAGTGTGATAATATTATTCAAGAAAAGAAAAAAAAAATTTTATCCTCACTCAGCCTCCGTTTGGGAAGTGGGTTGGCTTTTTGGCTTTTTGACTATTTTAGCCTGGGCTATTTTAGCCTGGTTTGGGAAGGGCTTTTTGACTTTTTTGACTTTTTTTGTGAGAGAGGATTGTAATGATTATGGGTTGGATTTGATGTTTTGTTTTTTGTGGCTAAAATAGCCTATTTTGTTTTTTGTGGCTATTTTAGCCCCAAACCAAGTTCCCAAACAAAGGCTCAATTATATATTTTTTCTTAAAATATTTATAAAAATAGATAAATTAGAGAACCCTTTTCACCAATAGAGAGATTTTGATTGGTAGCCTTTCGGCGGAAAGGTTCCCTGTATGAGGAGCCCACTGGAAACAGTAACTCCATAGGCAAAAGCCGAAAGAAAGAGAGAGAAAGAGGGTACCCAATTTATTCCAAGTCTTCACCTCCACACAATCGCCCCCATTTCCTCTCGCTCTCTCTCTCTTCAATCGTAACAATAAAATCCCCTCCAACCAACCACCGGTCTGATCGAGGATCTACTTCTTCTCTGGTACGATCTCCATTATATACATACTCATATATGTATCTATCTGCTTTGATTTTTTGTTTATTTTATGGTTGTTGATGCGGATCTGAGGTGATCCAGATTTTTGAAACTCAGGTCTCGCGATGGCTTCAAAGCGGATCTTGAAAGAACTCAAGGATCTCCAGAAGGATCCTCCTACATCTTGCAGCGCTGGTATATCTTCCAAATTTTCTTTATTATGTATATTTTTTGATTTTTTTGGTTTAATTTTTGTTGATCCATTTATCTATAAGGCTATTCTGGTTTGGTTTATTGAGATAACATCCATGTAATTTTTACACTCTGTTTGGATCGAGTGATTTGGTGAGAAATGATAAATAAAATAAAATAAAATAAGGAATTATGTTCTTATGTTTGATTTGTAAGAAATGATGATAAATACAACTCTTATTTTATAGGGGTGAGATTTAGTGAGAAATAACTTCATTGGTTGTATAATTTTTATAATACCAATTTTACCCATTAAAATACAAAAGAAGAAAAAAAAAAAAAATTTCACTCACATTCCTATATCACATGTTTTTCTTTCTTACTCTTCCAAACATAATAGTGAGAAAAGACTATCATTTCTTTGCTTTTCTCACCTAGATGAGAGACCACAACCATTTCTTTAATTTTCTCACCCCACAATTCAAATTGAGTGTTTCTGTGGTTGTATTGTATCTAGTGGCGGAGTTAGGATTTTAGTCAATAGGGGACAAATACTAAACAAATTATTAGGTTTGGTTTGTTTGGAAAAAGTTAGGTTGGCTAAAAAAAATTACTTATCAATATTTCAAAAGTATTATAGTATCATACGTAACATTCAAATCTATAAAACTCTTAGACTTCTATGAAATGAAAAAAGTGTCAATTAAATGCACATAATAAAAAGACATTTTTCTTAAATTTATTTGTGAATTAAATATGGAGTCAATCTATATGCACATGTTCTAATTAATGGTGCGTCGAGTTTGTTGGAAGAAGACTGAAAAAAATTTAAAAGTTATATATTATTTTAAGGGAAAAAAATGAAATGTTTTTTTTAAAACCTTAGCTTAAGTGGTAATTTCCTAAAAGTTGAGGAGGGGCACGCCCCCCCACCCCGCTGTTCTTTTGTGGGTCCGCCACGGGTTGTATCATAATTCATTATCCTTTTTTCTCGTACCAACTGTTTCATTTTAGATTGTTTGTTGGGTCTGTCATTTAGAGTTTTTCTTCAGTATTGGTGATAGGATTTCTATTTTTATTGTTGCTCATGGACATAACACATTCCAAGAAGAGAAATAAATAACTAGCTTTGTGCAATCATGGATATGTGCCAAATTTTGATTGTAAAAAGTGAACATGGTTGTGGTTATAAAGCTTCTTGGTGGTGGTAATAGAGTTCGGGTTGACTTGTGCCTTCATCCAGGTTGAGGGGTTTATGAGCAGGGAATACCTCCGCTCATTGTGTAGCCCATCAGCATTGAACCCAAACAAAGAAAACGAAAAGTGAATTTGGTTGTGCGGTTTGGGTTTGTGATGTTTTACAAAGAGAATTTAGATCTTGCAACTAGAGATGCTAGTTAGTTCTTGTATAAATTATGTCTATATTTCCTGCTGTCTGGACGGTTCACTTCAGACTAAATTCCTATACATGCCGTAGCTTTCACAAATATTAATATTGATGTCTTATTTTACTTTTCATTCTCAATGGGTACTGCTCTGAGTCTTAGTTGCAGGAATCGTGCAACTAGGTGGTGATTCTGAGTAAGAATCGCGATTCTGCGTTTCCTAGAAAGAAACGTGTAAGAATCGCGTTTCTGTGGAGAGAGAAACGCGATCCAGTCCAAGATGGGATCGTAAAGGGGAGAGGGAGAGAGAGAGAGAGAGAGAGAGAGAGAGAGAGAGAGAGAAAGAAACCTGGTCTCGCTGTCGCCTTCGACCTTCGACATCGACCTTCGACGTCGACTTCGCCTTCGCCTTCGATCTGCTCTCGCCTCGCGATCTCTGTTATCAGAATCTTACGATTCGCGATTCGATACGCAATTTTTGCAAAATTGATACGAATCTATGAGTGAATCTATTTTGGAAATAAATCTCTAGTGAATTCGCGATTCGATTCACGATTCGATACGCAATTTTTGCAAAATTGATACGAATCTATGAGTGAATCTATTTTGGAAATAAATCTCTAGTGAATCGCACGATTCATAATCGATTCACGATTTGATTCACTTTTTACGATTCATGCAATTTTTGAAATTATTGTGTTCGACATATTTTCGACTCATTTTTTTCATTTTTTTAGTGAAAATGACATAATACAACTTCTAATAGTATTTGTTACCAAAATAACCAACATATATATATGATTTGTTATTATTTTAGTGATCATGGAGTTTTTTATAGGATCCAATCAGATTCAGTCAAACCTAACATATTTTTAACCTTTTTTCTCATTTTTGTCCCCTTCAAAAAATTGTAATATATCTTCTAAAGATGTTTAAGATTAGAGTTACACTATGAATTATCTATTACTATTTTATTAAATTGAATACTACATGTGTGAGGTCAGTTATACCTGTTAAAATATTTTAGGCTTTAAAATAAAATATCCTAAATAATTCTTTCTTATTATTTGCTCACTCTTACTTAGAAAAGTATATATGCTTATTGTCCAAATATCAATATCGTTGTTAACTATTGTTACTTTAGAAATTAATAGTTTCTATTTGGTTATTACCTTTATTAAGAATGGTTGATAAAAAAATCTAAAAAAAAAAAGAAAAAGAAAAGGTAAGATGATGATTTTACATAGAAACCTTTGTTAACTTCTTACCTATTAAATTACGTGATTATCATTCAAAATAACATTTTTGTTGATTTAAGTCTAAATATTTTATATTCATAAGATACATTTAACATCTAAATGTGTAGATATATGTTTTTAAGTGATTTAAAAAAAGTGACTGAATCTTTACGATTCACGATTCGATTCGATTCGCGATTCGGTACGAGATCATTTCGATTCACGATACGAATCCCGATTTGACAACTATGCTTCATGGATATTCCAAAACTAGTAAAGTGCCTATGTGATCCGCTATAACAAACACTTGTTATGCAATATGGAAAATGACAAATTGATCATATTGATAATTCAGTAGTAGTGTTGCATTGATTTTAAAAATTGAAAATTATATATATCTAACACCTAAAGCACACAACCCTGCTGGAAGTACATACTGAATCCATGTAGCACCCTCTCCCTCCCTTCTAATGATAAACCTTAAGTCAGGTTTAACTCAGAGCTTAGTTGCACGAAGCGGGAGCGGGGCCGGGAGCGAGAGCGAGGAAGCGTGAGCCGATAGAAGTTCCTTAGGTTGGGAGCGCCTCGATAATTATTAATATATATATATATATATATATTACCGCTCCCCGAGGCGCTCCCAACCTAAGGAACTTCTATCGGCTCACGCTTCCTCGCTCTCGCTCCCGGCCCCGCTCCCGCTTTGTGCAACTAAGCTCTGAGTTAAACCTGACTTAAGGTTTATCATTAGAAGGGAGGGAGAGGGTGCTACATGGATTCAGTATGTACTTCCAGCAGGGTTGTGTGCTTTAGGTGTTAGATATATATAATTTTCAATTTTTAAAATCAATGCAACACTACTACTGAATTATCAATATGATCAATTTGTCATTTTCCATATTGCATAACAAGTGTTTGTTATAGCGGATCACATAGGCACTTTACTAGTTTTGGAATATCCATGAATTGTATAGCAGCGTATTGGAATCTGATATAGATATCAACCAAGGCAGATGCCATACTGGTTAGCTTGTCAGTTGGAGCGATTTGGGATCAGCTTCTGGCATCGATTCCTGCACCAAATGGCCTACCTCACCAACTATGCTGGATTTAATGTTCTTAGGAATATCTGTGTCATTAGGTTTCGTGAAGGTCCTGGTTTTTTTAAACATTTCCATACATTGTATACTATTTTTTGGGCACTACATGTTGAACTTCAAATCTTTTTTAAAAAAATATAAATTCCTTGTAATGTAAAGTGAACTCCAATAGATGATTTCATAACTTTTCTGCAGCATAAATGCATGTGCATGAACTCTAAACTGTTGTGTGTTTTCATGATTTAGGGTTTAGGGTTTATAATTTATGATTTTAAGTCAAACCAATATGTCACCATGACCATACACAATTTTTGTCTGTCACTCTGTTTGCAAATTTTTGATGATTTTCTTTCCTTGTTATTTTGTGCATGCTTAGGCCCTGTTGCTGAAGACATGTTTCACTGGCAAGCAACAATTATGGGTCCTCCGGACAGTCCTTATGCTGGTGGGGTTTTTCTTGTTACCATCCATTTTCCTCCTGATTATCCATTCAAGCCACCTAAGGTGCCTCCTTAACTTCAATTGTTTCCCTAAAGTTGGTCACATACTCTTAACTGTCCTTATAGGATGAACTCTTTTTTGATCTTTGTTTTTGGTTTTGCTTGTTTGCAACTTTGCCTTTTACATGCATTGTTGCTGAATTTAAAGTGCCTTTTGGTCTTGAGCTTTGAATTAACGGTTAAAGCTTTATCATCTATAAGCTCACACACTCTGCTTGTAGGGTAGAGGCTGATAAGGTTGGTTTTTTCACAGTGGTCAGATGTAGTATGGTAATGAAGTCATTTTTATTCAAATGGTGGCAGGTGAGTAAGGACTTCCGTTAAAGAGATGGCCCAAAATGGGCTTTGTGAGCCATTCATTGAAAACAAAAGGAAAAAATTGTCTCATTCTTACTAGTTGCCTGACAAGGATAGGGTTTTATTTTATTTATTTATTGTTGGGATTCCTTCTAATGGGCTCCGCCTCTTTGCTGCTTAAAAGGGAAAGGGAACATCATAAAGAAAAGAATAGAGTAGAGAGCACACATAAAGACTAAAAAGAGATGATGTGGAGTGAGAGGAGAAAAAAAAGCATAAAAGACTCACCAGAAAATTTATATTGCAGTATCTGAGCAGTGTTCCATTGGAAGTAGGCTTAACCTCCCTTTTTATTTTATTTTATTATTTTATTATTTTTTATAACATATGTAGTAGGCCTAGTCCTTAACCTTCATATCCAAGAGTGCTACCAAAAAATATTAATACCCTGGTGACAAACACTTATTATTACCCTGGTGACAAACCTTATTCGTATCCGTCTAAAGAAGCACAAACACTTCTAGGTGTTAAACGCTAACACTTGTCAAACACAACCAAGCTAACATTGAAACAGGACACAAAGGGGGTGTTTGGGAACCTAGATTTGGGGCTAAAATAGCCTCAAAAACAATTTTAGCCTAAAAGCTCCTAAACCAAAAGTTTTTTTTCTTTTTCAAAAAAAAAGGCCGGCAGTGGCTGTCACTGTGACGGTCCTACCACTGTCACAGTGATAGGTAGCTAAATTACAATTTTACCCCTTCAATGTGAAGTTAGGGACAAATTTGTCATTTTAACTTCAAACATCATTTCAACACATTTTTCAATACACCAACTCAAATAAAAATCCATTCTATCTTCTCAAACACAAAAACTAAAATAGTCTACTAAAATAGTCAAAAAGCCAAAAAGCCTCTAAAATAGCCACTTCCCAAACACCCACAAAAGTAGATTTTGGTAAGCTATTCTCGTGTCATCTGTTAGGGTACTAGAGCAACTCCAACCCTACTAGTCAGTTTTGCCTAGCTAAAAGAAACAAAAAAAAGTACACTACTCTTTGTTTATGATTGCTAAGCATTTGAGATGGAGGGAAAGAAGAGGGAGTGTTCCTATTTGAAGAGCCTTCAATGACTCTCTAAATGTAGACAGCAAACTGCTATCAATTTTATGAAGGAAGAATGAATTGTGTGTTTAGTAGATGTGGTTTTCTACTTTCTTTGCATGGAGCAGTTTTCATATTTTTCCTAAAGTGCAATACTCCTTCCTAGGTTGTATTACTAAATAAAGGATTGCCCCCAGTTCTTAAAGAATGGTTAGAGTTTTGCACATTGGCTCCAGATCCATAAAGATGCCACATGCACATTTTGATAAATATAATATAGCTTTGTGTTTGTGTATCCTGGGACAAAAAAATGAAGCACCTATGCAAGGTGTTTTTGATATTGTCATGGTTATTGCTTACCATGTTTCTTATGTTTGGATCAAACTTGGCATGCAGCTCTCATGTGTGGATTTATCTTGCAGGTGGCATTTAGGACAAAGGTTTTCCACCCAAATATAAACAGCAATGGGAGCATATGCCTTGACATCTTGAAGGAGCAGTGGAGCCCTGCCCTAACCATTTCCAAGGTTCATGTGCTATTTCGTGCTTCAACTTGAAAATCAGCATATGCACCATTAGAGAAAAAACAGAAAGAAAAAAAAGAAAAGAAAAGAGTTTTAGCTTTTGATGATCATCATTGGAAACAAACTTATTTGGGTAGAATTTTTTTTTTAAGAGGTTGAAAACGTTTCCCAAACTAATGTCTTATAATTGCCACCACACTACCATCATCTCCACCCCAGCACCAGCACCACCGCCACTGTCCTTGCCCTGTTACTACCACTCCCACCAACCCACCTCCACCTCCACCTCCACGCCAATGTTAACATTACCACCACCAGCAGCCCACTACCATCACCACTAACACCACCCACTCCCACCTCCAGCTTCACCATGCCACCACCAGCAGCCCACCATCATTAATACAACTACTAGTACATTAGTTTCAATGACAACCAAACATAGGAAACATTTTCTATGGAAAACATTTTTTGAAAGAAGTTTTTTTGTAGAAAATGCTTTCCGTTAGAAAATGTTTCTGACGAAACAAACAGGGCATTAGTAGTAGTAACTAGCAAGATCTTTGTATGTGCCTTAAAGATAATGTGTTTGTTTGGGATTGGAGTGGGTTGAAATGTTTCTTGTTTTTCACTTCCAGGTGTTGCTTTCAATCTGTTCTTTGTTGACGGACCCAAACCCCGATGATCCGCTGGTGCCAGAGATTGCTCACATGTACAAGACAGACAAGAACAAGTATGAGACAACTGCAAGAAGCTGGACTCAGAAGTATGCCATGGGCTGAGCATGCTATGGTATGGTATGTCTGAGGGGGGAGGCGCTTTTTCTTGCTAATACTTTTAGTTCTATATGTATGAATGAAGTCTGAACTTCCTCTTGAATCCTGAAATGGACAGAGAGGTGTTGAAAACATGCCCTTGAAAGGAGGAAAACAAAGATATTGCTTTTAATTGTTTGTACTACTAGTTTTTAATCTTCGTAACCAAGTATGTTTGCCAAATCTAGAGGTTTACGACTCCCCCAGTCATTAACAGAGATGGTACCTCACCACTTCTTGTTACTGACATATTTTTATGCAAATGGTTTCTCTTCTGCCGGTTAGATTAAAGAAAATAAATAAATAAGGACAGAGTGAAGGATGTTCTGTAGTTGTACGATTGTTATACGCCTCTTTTTTTTTTTTTTTTTAAAAGAGTATCCAGTAAATTAGCTGAGTTCGGTATCAGCATGGTGGGTGTCCCACCTTCCATCCTCTTTCTTGCCTTTTTTGTACCTTAATTTGGAAGATCGGTGACAAGACGACATGATATTGAGATGACGACTGACTTGGTGGGGTTTCCATCCCTTGTGCACAATGATTGTGGATGCGCCCACCTGGTTACCTGGTTTCTATACCGGTTTTCTCAAATTGTTTGGGTGTGGAGGTGGGGCTGTGCCTTACACTCATGAAGCAGGCAGTACACGTGGCCTAATCGTGCTATCCTGTGATGAACTAGTACATCCTGACTTTCTGAAAATTGGAATCAAATCTTGAAAGTGTTGGTTTCTATAATGGCTCACACAAACTTATGAAGTCCACATTTGTGGAATTCACGTTGATATATATGAGAAAATGATATAGCACTGTAATGTATCTGTTATAATATACGAAAGTTACAATCTCGTGCATCTGAGAGTGGGATGAAAGTTAAGACCACGTGTTAGGTTACTTATATGTCAGTTTGGATCGGGGTGTCGTAAAAGTTACATAAGTGTATAATCTAAATTCAACTTGGTATAATAAATTTAGTTCACAAATTCATACAAGAATGTTTGGTATTATAATTTAAAAGTTAACAAAAGCCTAAATAAGTTTATTATTGAGAAATCAGATGATGAATATTTTTAACTCTTATCAATTTTTAATTTTTTTTTTTTTTTTTGTTGACTTTCATTTGTATAAAAAATAGTATCAAACGGGCATTATATATTACTTGACTGCATAAATGCACACTATTGAAATGCTCAACTTTATAATTGATCAGTGTGGTGTATTGAGACTCGTCTACAAGAGTTGAATTTCAGTAACATATTTATTTTTTTGATTGTAACTTTGTGTACATATCTTTATTGCATCTTATATGGTTACTTAGATCTCATAAAACATTCCGACTTGCAAAGTCTTTTCCTGTGGGACTTTTAGAGTTGAAACTCCCGACCTGCAATTCTTCTGCAAAAACCTGTACAAATAATTTATAGTGAATCGCAAGAGCCATCTTCTATTCTTGTTTGCTTTCAAGATAGTCCTTCCCATCACAAACACCACTCCCTCCTTCATCGCCGAATCCAATTTCTCTATCTCCTCTGTTGTTTCAGCCTGCTCGCGAAGTTTCGCAACCACAGAACTAACATAATCGTCTCCTTCCATGCTCGGCAAATCCTTGTAACCAAACTGAACCAAACATCGATAAACACCGTCAAGTCCCAACTTCCCCACCACCAACCTCTCCTCCGGGAGGACAGTTGTGATCGGCAGAGTCCTTACTGTGACAATCACCATGATTTTGCGTACAGAGTTCGCATGATGAATGTAACGCCGAATGATGGGTGGGATGCCATTGACAAGGTCAGTGCAGAAGAAGCAAATCCCCTGTGGTCGTTGGACAGAGGCGCTTGAGAGCGTGTCGTCGAGTTCACGTAAGCTCATTTTCTGTTGTGCTTCGTAGATGCTCTTCTGGCTCCTCCCGTATGTCCATGACAGCATGACCGTCAAGAAGAAAGCGGAGATGGCGAATGGTGCCCAGCCTCCTTGAGGGACTTTGTTGAGCAAGGATGTCATGTACACACCTTCGATTGTGACAAAAATCGTGAAAAAGCCGGAGACAAGGATGAGATTTGTGTCCCAGATCACCAGCATCACTAGGGTTATCAAGCAAGTTGTTATGATCATCACCCAGACAACCACCACACCTATGAATTTCATGAGAGGAGTTCTAGATTAGAAAATGCACAACTAGCTCCATTTTAGTGCTCCAGAGCACTGGTTAATGTCGGAAACAGGGTAAAAAATCTGTCATTGAAATAAGTAAAGAGATTAAAATAATTTTTGAAATAAAATGATTTCTCCATTTGGAGTGTTAATTGGATCAGTCTAGTATGGTCTAATTAGCTCACATTAGGGTTTACTTTGATGATTTATGCTATGCACTTTTTAAGTTCTTGAAAACAAGTACAATGAAAACATGTGACGAAGAAAATGCACTGTCCGCTTCATTGAAAACAAGTACAATACAATGGAATCATGTGATCAAGAAAATCAAATTAATCGGATCATTAAAATGGGTCGTTCAATGAATCCAATTAATTGGACTAGATGGCCCAGTCCATCTCTCCCCCTAGAGAGAAACTAGACCTTTTATTAAATCAATGTAACTGTTTTGAAACATCTAAAAATTATCTCACATTCTTTATCTTTTGTGCCTCTTTTTTTTTTTGTGGTCATTTCTAGGTAAACTTGTTAGCTAAACTCTTCATTAAAAAGTGAAAAAACTTTCCAAACACAAAAACTAGTCACGATCAATTTTTGTGTTTGTAGCAGAATTGTCAAAAAAAAAATTAAAAAAAAAAGAAACTAGAAAGGGAGAAAGGTGTAAAAGAAGATGCTTACCAAAGGCATTTCCAAGTTGAACACCATCTTGGAATCCAACCACAAGAGCAATACAAATAATCATAAGAGTATAGTTTATCTCTGGAGAGTAGACTTGTCCTTCATGCTTTGATGAAGTGTGCACCATGTTAACCCTAGGGAAGCAACCCAGAGCTAGAGACTGCTTCACAATTGAAAAGGTAGCAGAGATCATGGACTGGCTTGCAACAATGGCAGCAAGTGTCGATACAACGAACATAGGCCAGTACACTGGCTCAGGAATGGAACTGTAAAAAGCGTTGCCCATTCGATGTGGGTGTTTTATCAGATAAGCCGCTTCCCCCGCGTAGGTGATGACTAGTGCTGGGTAAACGAATGAAGAGAAAGCCAACTGCAAAAGCCACAGTTAAATAATTGTACCTGGATAGGAAATGATACAGTTATATATGGAGAGGCATGTGCCTTTCAAAATTTTTTTTTTTTTTTTTATTCAATCAAACACCTTTGGAACAAAACCAAATGCAAAATTGTTGCATACCATAATAGTAAGATTTGAACTCAAATATCTGATAAGAGAGCATCTCATTCACTAAATCAATCTCTTAGAATTGTTAAAATAATAATAATAACAAAATTAAACAAACAAGAAAATAATGTGGCTCCAACAATAAAATAAAATGATTCAATATTCTTAGAGTACCATCATAACATGTGCATGGGGTACTCCCAATTAAAGAGGCTGTACAAAAGATGGATAAAATTGACCTTATTTATCATCTAACAGACCAAGGTAGGCCTGGTCGGTAGGTTATACTCATTCTATTATTTGGTGCTTTTATTAGTTTGAAAACACCATACCAACATGCTGAGTAAGTAGTAATTATTTACTTAATAGTTAGTGGGTAGTTTTTATGGTAATAGATTGTTCAAATCTGATTTAAAAACATAATCAAGTTTTAAATTTTTCTTGAAGTTTGAATTATTTACATTCAAATGAGTTTTTCTTTTATTACCTGAATTGAATTCTTGTTGAAGTGACCCAAATCAGCAAACATAGCCTCAGCCCCTGTCCCATTAAATTAACAACTTTTCAAATCAAAATCAAACTTATTTATTTATTTAATAAAACCCAAAACAATAAGATTACATACAAGTGTTGATGATAGAGAAACAAACAAACATACCAGTTATGCACAAAAATATAGCACCAAGGAGAGTCCATCCAGTGACTCCATTTCTTGAAAAAAATATGATGATATAGTGAGGAGACAAGGCCTTGAAAACAGAGGGTTCATATTTAACAATGTTGTATACTCCGATGGCGATGTTTGAGCCGAACCACATCAGCATGATCGGAGAGAATGAGGAACTCACTTTGCTCGTACCGCACTGCTGGAATATGAAGAGTGCCACGAGGAGCACAACCGCCATGATTATGACATGTTCTGATAGTCAAACAAAAAATGAATTGAATTTAGATTGATTTAGTATTTGTCGAATTAATATTGGATTTTTGGGAGGAAAGAACAGAGCTTACTTTGTGTTATGCTTGAGGAGACTGATTGAATTCCTTGTAGAGCTGAGAGAACTGTCACATGAATTAAAACAGTGGTGTGAATTAGAAACTGTGATGCTACAAAAAAGAAAAAAAGAATGGTTTAAGAGGCATCTTAACAATATTCATTAATGATGCGATACTCTAGTGAATAATTTTGCATGTTAATTCTGAAAAAAAATATGTGAGGCCATAATTGCTGTTACAAGTAAATATATATGGAAAAAAGATATATGTTACCGATTAAAATAATGTTATATACTAAGAAAAATAGTTTAAAAATTTAAATTTATGATATAAATTTAAATTTAGTATGATGTAAGTCATACATGAAATTTATTCAATCTATGTATTTTAAATTTTTGTTTGGGGTGTACTATATAACTACACTTTTTATCTTTTTATTTATTTTTGTCATATCACTTCTCTACTTTTCTGTATATTTTTTTCATAAAAAGTTAAAAAGTATACTTATTGAGATCATCCCAAACAAAGTAGGTGTTTGGCCTGCACTAAAAAAGTGTACTTTTTTTTGCATACATACATTTATTTAGGTCACATCAATCAACATTTATCAACATCTCCTCTCAACTTTTCTACACATTTTTTTTTTATTATAAAAAGTTAAAATGTGCACTTATTTAGAACATTCCAAACCACTCCAAAGTTTCGAGACAACCACTTTGTACACTATGCTAAAGGTTAAGGGTGTACCTAATTTTTCTCCTCCCAAACACATATTTATGTATACTAATTAGGTGTTATTTTTTATTTATTTTTCTTCCGTTCACTAATGCCATTCACAATTTTCATCTAATCAACTTTTTCCAAGAATATTTATATAAAATTTTCAAATAGTAAACCTAGCTTCTTATAAATATTTCATTTCAAATCAAAATATCAAATTTTCAACTCATACTTATAAAATATCACTGTCACATTATTCTCTATAAAATTTATATACAACTTCTCTTCATAAATCATTTCATTTTCTAGTTACAATTGATAAACGGTAACCATAAATATAAGGATAATAAATGAAGCAAACAGTCATGTCGGATTATTAAAAGCTCGTTAACTAAACAAGTTAATTTTGAACACATTTTTGAGAGCGAGAGAAAACTTACCACTAGTGGCAGGAGTTAAAGCGCCATCACCAATGACCATGCAAGTCCCAAGCAATATCACTGTCACATTATTCTCTATAAAGTTTATATACAACTTCTCTTCATAAATCATTTCATTTTCTAGTTACAATTGATAAACTGTAACCATAAATTCTACCAAATATAGGGATAATAAGGCCTAGTTTGGGAAGATTGAAAAAAGACAAAAAGTCAAAAAGTCACTATCTTATTTAAGTTACATCATTTTATTTAAGTCACATCACCTCTCTAATACATCACTTCAAACCCAACTCATATTTCATAAAAAGTCAAAAAGTGCACTTATTTAGTCTTTTCAAACTAGGCCTAAATGAAGCAAACAGTCATGTCGGATTATTAAAAGCTCGTTAACTAAACAAGTTAATTTTGAACACATTTTTGAGAGCGAGAGAAAACTTACCACTAGTGGCAGGAGTTAAAGCGCCATCACCAATGACCATGCAAGTCCCAAGCAACACAACAAAGCTCAGAAAGCTCTGTGCAGCCGAGCTTCTCTCCAGCAACTCCTTGGTCTTCGATTTCATCCTACTCCCCAATGTATAATACTTCATTTTTGCATCCGAATCCAATCTCGTGTTCTGAATCGTAAGCTTGCTCTGAAAATTTATATGCCGACATAGAAAGGAATACAGAGCGAAAGTACCGCCTTCTCCGTGATCGTCTGCACGGAGAACTACGAACACGTATTTGATCAGAGCGATCGAAGTTAAAGTCCAGAAGATGAGACTGAAAATTCCTAGCAGATCTTCTTCACCCGGGTTTGAGAGACGAATAGAGGAGAACACGTAGAGAGGAGAGGTTCCGAGGTCTCCGTAGACTATGCCTAGAGATTGGTATGCCAATAGTACGGTTTGCACTGAATGATATTCCTGGAGAGATCAAATGATCTGATCACTCTTTTCTTGTTTTTTTGCATCAAATTTTGAATGAATCCCTTTAATTTGCACTTTGCTTTTGTTAGGTTTGGAAAATTCTCCCGCATGTATACCGTTTTATCACAAAATTACGTAAATTTTCATGAATTTAGTAGAGCTTAAAGTTGTTGAAGCAATGACTTTAGGCCTCATTTGCAAAACACCACAAAATTTTCATATATAGTCATAAGTCATAATACAATTCAATTGTTTCTCATAAAGTTTACTTTGATGAAGGTCTCCACAAAACCAAAGAAAAAAGAAAAAAAGATATACTCTCGTGATCATGATACAAGATTTAAAATTTTGATAAAAAGGTTTGGTATATGTTTGTCATATGCACACCCCTTTTTTTTTTTTTTTATAATAATAAATAAAGGTTCACAGTGAAAGGGCTCTATAAATTTTAAAAACTTATAATATATAATTTTAAAAAATTTCTCACCTTAAAAGAGACTCCCACTAATTTGAAATAGGTTCTACAAATCTTTCTTAATCTTCGCTTTGAATTTGTAATTTTTATTTATTTGATAATTTTTGGCACTTTTAATTTCTTTTTTTTTTCATAGCTATATATTTTAAATAACTCCCAAATTTTAGGTAGGAGAATCAAAGAGATATGAATTTTACATGATAATTTACTAAAAATAGTAAATATTATTTATATTTAAGTTTAAAATATAAAAAGTCTCACAATAAAATTTACTTTACGCCTCATGGAGGCTTAAGCTGGCCTTGACTTACATAAATGATCACATAAAAATGCCTAGGTTAAAATAAGTTTATGATCCAAGGGGTATACCCTCTAATATGTGAGTGGAGGCTATTTGTCTTTTCATCATATAAAGTCAAAAATTGAAGTGCAAAATGATGGAATATATATATACACTAAGTAAAAAAAAGCCCGTGCCTTACGGTATATTTAAGTTTTATATTTTGATAATTTTTAAAAAATAAGAATATTATTTTAAGAAATTGAATAGAATAAATCATCATATATGATAGAATTATATAAATTTTATTATAAATAATAAAAATTTTAAAAAATATAACAAGTTTTATAATTTTAACATAATTATACTTTTAACACTCAAGTGTTTGTTCATGACCACTTGTTCTATTGTCTAAATTCATATCAATTTCGAATAGTCACCAAACTAATTATTCAATAATTTTTTTTGTTTGTTTTATATAAGTGTCTTTTGAGTTAGTTCATTTTGTTATTCAATACTTATTCGATGTGCTGAGTTTCATCAGTAGTGTTCAGTTTACTGAAATGAAAGTGGAATGGAATGATCAATTAAAATGTTCATTCTCATATATGATGAAAAAAGTATTGAACATGGATTCTTCACTATTATAAGGAAATGATCATTCTATAAATAAACTTAACAAAATCTCTCATTTTGAACTATTAGGCTAACAACAATGAACCAAAATTTCTTACATAATTTTCAAAAGCCCACCACCTCAATTACTTCACAGGCAATTATTGGGTAATCCTAGAGTATGGTCACATGGTGTTCCATGGTATTATGATTAGTGAAGAAAATGAAATATTATGATTTTATGTTGAGTAATTGAGAAATATAAGAGGACATGGTGAATAATGATTGATAAGAAAACATGAACACGTGGTACTCCGAGAGTACCTAATAATTAATTATTTATTTATTTAATTTTTTTTTTTACAAGAAAATCCTCCCTTCCCTCCTGCAAGTCTAAGGTAGCGCCCCTTGTAAAGATTATCAAGGTGTCTTGTTAGCCGTTCTGAGCGAGGAGACTATAACCTGGGAACTTGCCCCGACCTCCTAAGACAAGCTCCGCTTAAGTCAGAACTCGCACAGCGGGGGAGCATTGAACCCACACCAAGTGCTAATTAGACAACTTGAAATCCAACCTCCTAACCAACTGTGCTTCGCCCAGGAGATTGGCCCAGGGGGGAGGGAATTGAACCTATGACCTTGGAGCTTAAACCCCAAGCCTTAACCAGAATGCCACCCACCCCTAGGTTAATTTTTCTAATTTTACCAACCAAGTTAAAGGACAAAATAGAAAATTCAAATACAAGCTAAGGACAAAATAGACAATCCAAGACCAACCTTCCCAACCAAAGCAACTAAAATTTCTTACATAATTTCCAAAAGGCCACCACCAAATTGTTTCACCAACCAAACTAAAGGACAAAATAATAAATTTAAAAAAAAAAAAAAACTAAGGGCAAAATAAGAATAAAAAAACAAGCCATAAGCAGAAAAGAGATTCGTATATATATATATATATAATAGATATAACATATATCACAAATATGATTTAATAAATCATACATAGAGTTAAGATGTCGAATCCTCAATTCTTAGTTATCTTCTCTCTATCTTCTAATACTTTTCTATCACATGATATCTTATAATACTTTCCTATCACAAGATAGGTTTTATTGCTATGATTACGTGGTGGACAAGGGTTTTGGATAATGGTGACAGACAAATTTACTTATCCAAAATTAGATATATTTTCATTTGTAAAATAAAGTTGAGCTCATTATTTTAGCATATATATTCTTAATATTTTTTCGTATAAAAAATCTTTAAAAAAAATATCAAATTTAAATGTAAAGAAAATATTTAAATTTAGTATGTTACACGAGCCACACTCAAAATCAATCTAATCCATTTATTTTAAATTTTGAGTACTTTTTTTTAATTAAAATATATTCTAAATACGTAACATTATAAATTGTTTATATAATTTAATTTTGTGTATATAATCTTATTCAAAACTATTCATAGAACTCAACATAACATGAAAAATGTTGTACCTTAGGTTTCCTTGGATGAGGTTGGTATAAATGAAAGAAACTCATAGTTCTATCTCTCAAGCCCTTTGTTTCAACTTCTCTGCTGTCACTGCATGGTACATCACAAGACACAGCGCCTCTACCACTTCCACCCCCAATGCTTCCAGTTTCAATGTCTCCTTCAACCCCAACACCGTTGGATAATTTGGTGTCTTCCATCTCTCTCTCTCTCTCTCTCTCAATGCTATTAGCATGTGTTGTGCTTTTTATAGCCCAAAGTTTTGTCATATAAATACTACATACATATAATAAAGCCAATAAACATATCACCAAGACATGTACCTAAATGAATCAATTATTAGACATAGAAAAAGATTTCCAGAGGATCAAACTACTTGGTGGTTTCTGTTTGACTACACTAGAAAATATTTGATCAATCCTATATGGAATCATAATTTAACTTAAATTAAAATGATGATGACGTTAGAGTTAAGTGATCTGAACTTAGGGGCAACTCACCCCATCAGTAAATAATGAAAAATCTTACATTATGTTAGTAGAGATTTTGTATGGTGTAGTTTTTGCAAATTCAAAATTGATAATCAGAAAATAAAATTTAAAAACAATTATCCCTCAGCTTTTTTTGAACTTATTTAAATTGTTTTTGCTTCGTTAACTATAATCAGAAGCTGCATAAAACACTTGGCACATATTCTCAAGACAAAAATTAAAAAGATATAAGCAACTCAAAACAAGAAGTTGGGTATTGGATGACGATTTTTTTTTTGTCTTCAAAGAGTTAATTTCGTTACTATAGATATTTGTGAGGAAATATTTTCGTCACCGGGTTCGTCATTGAATGTTTGTCACTAAAAACCATCGTGACGGAAAATAATTTCGTCACCAATGAAATTACTTCAATGGCGAAACTTTTTGTCACCAATAAAACAACATTTTGTCACAAAAAATTCTCATTTTCGTTACCAAATAGTTATTCAGTACTACATTTATAACTTTAGTTGACGAATAAATTTGTCATACATGTTGATCATTGATAAAAAAAATAATTTTGTCACAGTAAGATGTAAAGTTGACAAAATTTTTCATTTCCAAATATCATACATGGGTGACGAAATATATTTCGTGGCAAAAATATATATATGTGACGAAATTTTTAGTTAACAAATAACAAAAACAATGAAAACTTTCATATATGAACTGCAATAAATTTTGTCACAAAAAATATTTGTTAGCGATGAATAATTACTTTGTCATAATAATAAGTACAAATGACGAAAAAAATTCGTCACTAAACTTGTCTCATATTTTATATTTCAATTTAAATTATTATTTCACAAATATCCCTAATCATATCCCAATATCCTTTTAAATGTAGTAAGAAATCCATTAGCTATTAGCCACCACTCCACAAAAAAAATTCACTAAACAATTTATATTATAAATCAAAATATATCCATCAAACAAATTTAATAATAATCTATTAAGTATAACAAAAAAAACCTTCAAAGCAAATCTCAAAATAAACTAACATGGAGCCCACACTCGATCTTGATTTGCAACTAAAACTAAGTATCAGTTTAGAAAAAAAAAATTCAACACTTGATTTTCATTTGCAAGAATGCTTCTAGACGTCATCAAAAACCAATCTGAAAAAAAAAAAAAAAACATTAACAGATTATCAATTATATTGTGTAGACCTCTCTATCCATTTAATACAAATTGTGTATACAATAAGTCTAACTTAACAAGCAGAAGTTCCTTTCTACATAGCAAGCTCCTATTAATCACATCACTAATTTAGAGCAACTCCAACACTGTTTAGCAAAAATATACAAAAAAGTATACACATAGTTTTGTCTCTATTTGGGTTACTGTGTATTTTGACAAGGGTCATGCTAAGTAAGAAGTAACTAATGAATCTATTTTCATTAAATACATCTTCAAACTCGTTAAATCTTAGTTAATAATTAGTGAAACTGTTGTGCTTTAACTAGTATATACTAACCAACATTAGGAAAAAAAAAAGAAGTGAGACTTACCAAAACGGCGATTCACGAGTTCATGGAATACCTCCTCCTCTAAATTGTCCTTTGAAGCCTTGCTTCTTAAGAAACTCCATGATGCTTGATGTCATCTCAAAGTTCTCCTCAAGCGACTCATTCATCTTCCCTATCACATTATTTTGTACTTGAATTTCCTCTTTTTGTGAATGAATTTCCTCCTTTTGCTCTTGTATTTTCATCTTTAGACGCCTCGCATAGTCACTGTCAGTCGAAGCACTGGTAGTCCTGATAGAAAAGGAAGGCCTTAACCCAAGTCCTTTAACATATCCCGACCTTCACTTGAGCACCTTCACAGATAGCTCATTCGGAGTAATTGGAACCATACTAGGTTGGGAGTCATGTTCAGCTTGGATCTTTATCATATTATCCTATCATTTAAAAACAAATAGAAAAGTGAATAAAGATACAATAAAAATTGCAGTCATCCTAATGCAAAAGGTAAATATACATATTTAATTCTTTTCGCACTTTGGAGAAATCCACGGCTTTGTGACATCATTAAAGTGTGTGGGTTTGTAAACACATGACGACTCTGGCAATTGGCCTCCATTTGCGCTTGTCTGATTTTTTTTTCCAACTAGTAAGTTAAATAAGAATGATGGTAGTAGAATCATCTTTAAAAAAAAAATAAGGAAAAAAAATAATTAAAGAGGACGCACCGCCTCATGTACCCTAACTTGGAGAGATTTTGACCCACATCTATGCTTCGTCATCATTTGATTTCTATTGTCAATGTTAGCTATTGATTGCTTCTACAAGGAGCAAGTTCCAATAGTAAAATATATATATTAGTAAGACAAGATAATTGTCAACAATAAATAAACATAAGAAAAGTTTACCAGCCAATTGCCATCATTCCACTTCTTGTTAATCAAGTTTTTCCATTTCTCGAGGTCACATCCAGGCGGTGGATGGCTTCTAGCATACTTCCCTCCCTTAGCACTTTTAAGATTCAGGTATTTTATTCGTAGTCGGTAGGTGTGGATGCTCAAGCTTCGACCACACTTTGTTGCCATTGCTTTGCTAACATCCGTGGATTCACCTTGTATGTCAAATTGATCCTACCAACAGCTACAAATATTGTGAGTCATAATTCATTATATTACATGAATTCAATCAATTATGTAAAACTTTTACCGTTAGACGCTGAAACATAACTGCCGTAACTTCTTCGTTGATATGTTTCCACCTACGAATGCTAAAGTCTGGCAAGTGTGTTCGGACCTCAACACCAATTTTGAAGACTAATTGAGAGGCACGATCCCCCACTAGTGCACGATACTCCTATGGTATGGGAACTTTGAGCTCTCCATTTTTCTTAATCATTGCTTGAACCGTCAGCTCGCGTGTCAAGCCACGAGGGTGTCTACTAGGCACTATTGTAAAGACATAACATTGATTGGTTAGTAATTAATTAAAGCGAAATCACAAAAGCAATAAGCAACTTTTTTTTGTTGTTGTTGAATAAGTCATAAAATAAAATGATAACATATAGAGATATACAAGGGGCATTCCCCAGGCCTTACAACACCAAACAAAAAAAACTAGAGCTATATAAGAGAAACAAAACCAAACAGATAAACTAAACTAAATAAACTATAAAGAGAATCATCCTAAAATAAACCACACAAAGGAATGTTCATTCGCCACATGAGGAAACAAGGGATATGAACACTCAATAAACTAGCCAAAACAATAAAAAATACAGTTGCACAACCCTCAAGAGAGAAAGCAAGCAAAACTAGAGATTAAGCTGTGTGGATTAAAAGCTCTTCAGTCTGACAACAAGAGAAAGTATTCAAAACACGCTTGACTTAATGGGTATCTAAATGCCAATGATGGTTCTCAAATGAAATCACGAGGGTCACAAAACAAGCAATATTGTCTACAGAGGTTCAATTGATGAAGAGAATAATTTGAAGCCAATAAAAATGCTAAAGTAAACTGTGTTCTCTGTTATATCAAAGTCAATGGCACACCCTTATCTAATGTTACTGTTCTTGCTTTGCTTTCCAGTAACTACTTCAAACCCTGCACTCAAAAGGTTTTAGAAGCAAATCCAAAACAAATTATTTTGTACTGACCACTCAGAACATTTTCCTTTCAACCCACAAAAAAGGAAAAGGTATTGGTAAAATGTTCCACATGTTGTTAAAAATACCTTAAAATTAGCATTGCATAGAAGCTGAAACTTTGAAACAGAATTAACTAATCAGAACATCAAAAGAGAAATATGGTTCAGCTCATGGTTGATTAAATGGTGTTCCATGTCATGTTTGTTGTTTCATTGGCTAGAACCCGACCTATCTTCACAAAAGAATGAAACAATACAAGAAAAATAAAGGCAAAGGAAAAACAATATAGTTCTAAAATGATAGCAACCATAGTAAGAGAACTAATTTGCAGACTAGACACATGATAGTTTCTACAATTTGCTATGATTTATGATGATCGCTTGCCTCTTAAACCGACCTACAAGTGGGCCATAAACATTACATTTTTTGGGAAAGGTCCAAATATTGGTTAGCCATTAGCTTTAAACTAAGCATTTAGAGATTCATACATGGAACAGAAGGTATAAATTAGGATGATTGTGTCTAGAACACATTTGTTGCCATTAAGAGCCTTGCACAAACAACACTACCAGCAGCCACACAGGTACAGCTACAACTTTGTTCCCTACTCTCAAGTTGATGCTTTTCCTTTCTCAAGTTGTTTTCTCTTTCTCACAGTTATATTTGCTCTTTCACTTTCTTGTTTCTTCACTCTTTCTTACCTCTGTAGCTTCTTTGTTCTTTTCATAATCCTGAATTTTCTTCGTCACGTATTATTTTTATTTTTTTATTATACGTGACAAAATTTATAATTCCTTATGGATTATTCATATTTAGTAACGAAATTTGTTTTCTTCACTAATTTTCGTCGCCATAAGAAAACGGAGAATAAGAGAAAGAGACACCAAAAAAAGAGCAAAGAGAAATCACATACCAAATCGGCGAGCGAAGAAAATGCGGCGATTACCAACAAGGCTACTAGTGGCGGTGGCGATCGGCAAGGCTAACAGAGGCGACGACAATGGCGATTTGTGTGGTGGAGGAGCAAGATGTAAGACAAATTAATACCCTATTTTGAGAGAGAGAGAGAGAGAGA